AAACTCAGCATACTCATCGGCATAGCACGACATTTCCTCAGCATCACCTGCATCACTTCCAACAGCTACTTCATGTTGATCATTTCTTGACTTTGCTTTCTTACGTTTCTTCATTGATCTTTTGGGAGACTTAACATCGGATCGTCCAACGGAGTCGGAAAGATCCTCAAGCTCATCCCCACTTTCCCCATCAATGACCAAAAGACCTTCGCCTTCCGATGTTGAGCATCCATCGTCAAGAACTGCCATAATCTTTTCCACACAGGATGATCTTAGCTTTCTCTTCTCTTGATCGACGCTCACATAGGGAATGTAGTCTTTGACGGTCATTTCGATGATGTTGCCATTTGGATCCAGCATGAATGGGGTTCTTCCAGTCGGCCATACAAATGAGTAACCAAGATCAACACATCGCTTTCCCATGGAGAGCACGGAGGGTGTGTCCTCCAGGATGTGAGCTTCTGCTGGTTCACTGAATGCCTCGAACTTGATGCTTGAACGTTTGGTCGAACATGTCACCCCATTTGCTGTATGGAAGTTGACGACCTTGTCATCATATGTTGGTAGGTCCATTCTACTTATTCGTGTGGATGAAATGAGATCATGACCACTTCCAGAATCCAATATGAATCTCTTATCTCTCTCCTCAACAGGAACAGTGATACACATTGTGTTGCCCCTTTTACCATATCGACCTTCAATATGCTGAACATAGTTTTCCACAAAAACTTCTCTGGACACCTCACCGTCCTCGATGTCGAGTCTGATCAGAATGTCCATACTGGGGCCGACGATGACCAGGACTTCATCAATGTCACTGTGTTCACCCCTCTCATCGATCAGAATAGCCATTGCTTTCGCTCGGCTCGAAGCTAACCTGCATGAATAAGACCATTGCTCGTCTTTCCTTACCTGGTCAGTGGGTTTGCCAACTTTACCATGACCTTTGGGGATGGTTTGGGATTTCCGGCTGCACTTCACGAAGTCCTTCTTCACGTAAGTTTGAACTTGAGTCTTAGACTCATCAAATCTGATCTTCTTCTTGATCACGTTCGATGCAACCTTATGGAACGTCTCTTCATCATCACTCCAATCATGGATAAGTGCAGGAGTAGCCTTTGAGCTTGGTGCTTCAGTGTTTGGAGCAGTGTTGAATAGATGAGGATCGTGGCGTTTGTTGCATTTGTCTCCATACCGACACTTGCCCTTAGCCCAATGCCAGCATGGTTCATCAACCTTCTTGGTCTTGTTTGCCGGAGATTGACTTCTTGGAGTTCCTGGCTTCCGACCGTTGCCTCTTGCATTCTTGTTCGCATCAAATACCTTTTGGTCGTGACTGTATTCGCAATCCTTGCCTTTTCTGCATGCTTTCTTGATGAAATGGAAATGGCATGGGATTTTCTTCTTGGATCTAGGGCTGGTACTTCGGCTGTTTGCTCGATCCTTTCCTTTCCCTTGACCTTTTCCTTTCCCTTTTGCATGCTGTTTAGGCTGAGGTGATGGTAGAACTGGAGCTGCATCGGCCTTGGCCTTCGCCTTGGGTGCTGCCTTCTCCTTGGGAGTAGCCTTCGGCTTCGCTTTTGGGTTTGCATCCGGTGCAGCAGCAGTCGGATTTGGGGCAGGAGCTGAAGGTTTGCCGCCACCTGCAAAGTCTCTTGCATACTTCTCTCTAGCGGCCACATGCTTGTCCTCCCTGATTCTGGAGATGTGTCTTTCGATGACGTCCAATAGATAGCGGTAGTTTCGTCTATGGTCTCCTTCAATCCATGACTCGTACTGCTTGATGTCAAACATCATAAGACTCGAATTTCGAATCTTCTTGTATAGAGCATCACGAAGCCAATCATCAGGAGGAACATCATCCGGCATCATGTTTGATACCATCTCCATCCATTTCTCATAGGACACTTCCAGGTTTGAGTCACCGAGATACTTCATTGACACAATGTGCTCCATAGTGAAGGCTGTCTCTCGTTGACCTGGGGTTCTGAAGTGCTCCAGGATCATAGCCAAGATTTCCCGTCCCATGACATAGGTTCCTCTTCGACTATGACTTTGTGTCCTCAATCTCAATTTGATCGCCACATGACGAGCAACATCACCGGCTTGGGCTATCACATTTGACAATGCAATTGATAACTTGGCGTCGATTGATTGATATCGTTGCCCTCCACTGTCATTCAATAGCTCGATGTCAGGATTTGGTCGAATAGCCGGCTGTAGCCATGCCTCCCACGCAGCTTTGTCTCCATCATTTGCAGAAAGAACAACACTCTTGATGAGATCTGATTGCCAAACTCCAAGATTCTGTTGTTTAGGCCATGGGCTGACATAGACTTTGTCAGCCTCCCGTCTTGACATTCTTGGCACTTCTTCTGCAGTGTACGCTGCCGTGGAGACATCATCTGCTGAATCGCGTTGTGACCCTCGAACTGAAGGCAAACCTGGAGGTTCAGGAGGTGGCCCTGGACCGTTAGGCCCGAAAGGGTCAGGAGGTCCATCAGGGTCAGGCGGACCGCCCCATCCACTCGGTGGCTTGTAGTAGTCCCTCTCAGTTCCGTCAGCGATCTTGTTGTCGACTTCTTTCAGCAGATCAGTGATTCTTTTGTTTGATTGAGAAGGTTGTCGTTGAGGAGGTACAGCATGTTCACGATAGGAATGAGCTACATTTGTCTCATAGTTCAACTCCTTGTCTATCTGCGAAACCCAAGACTTCAGGATGGCATTTTCACAGTTAGCCTCACTCACGTCATTCTCCAGTTTGCCGATGACTAGTCTTGATGCGAGATCGTAGTTGGGAATGCCTGCCGAATAGGGAAGTGTGTCAGGGCTGACCCTAGATATGGACGTTTCAGAATCCTTGAGACTCTTTCTCATTTCATCTAAGTTACGCTTCATGTCCATAATCTCAGAGTTCTTGATACCGATCTTTTCATCCCTATCCTGGATTTCCCCCATGAACATGCATGATCTCTCATATTGCTGAACACCACTAGCCAACTTCATTTTGCGCTCACTCTCTAGTTCAGATTTTAGAGTTCGGACCTCGGCATTGGTGAGGGACGACGCCCCTACATCCGCAACTTCAGTCAACCTTTCTTTTAACAACAAGTTCTCTTGTAAACATTCATGAACTTCATGATCTAGATCCTGAACCCTGATTTGAGCGATTTTAGCTTGATTACGTAGATCTTCAACAAGCATCTCTTCGGGGCCACGACCGTCGGTCGTAGAACCCTGAGTCAACGATCTTCGTAACTTCGTGTTCTGCAACTTGATCTCATCCTTCAATTCGCAGTTCATCTCCTGCTCGTTGGCATAGAGCTCCTCATAGTGCTCTGCCCTTGCGATCGAGTTTGCACTAGCCTGTGATTCAAGCCTCAGGTGTGATATTGCTTCGGCCTCTTGGTTCCTGTATGATGCAATTCTTCTGACGGTATCATGTTCAGTGTTTCGATGCTTCAGGTCACTTTCCAATTTGGCCTGATTTGCCTCGAACACCTTCTTCCTAGATTCTCTAGTGATCTCATCAATACTGCTCTCATACAGCTCGGCCTGTTTACGAGACTGAACCAAAGCTTCACTCAATAGCTGATTTCGCTCAGATAATTCATGAACTGCAATTGATTGTTGTTGGCTAATCACTTCAAGTTGATTACTAGAGAAGGATGCCATTTCGGATCGATTACGATATTCCATGATTGAGTTCTGGAAATCTTTTTGCATTTCTTGACCTTCATAGTATAGTCGATTGGCAATATCGGTGGTTAAGACATTGGTTTGATGAAGTTGTTGTAGTCTTGCCTCCGTATTACCCAGTAGTCCTTGAAGGTGATGTACTTCATCCTTGTACTCCTCCTGGATCTCCATACCACGTTGATGGATCCGTCGTGCACCATGTTCCATTAGGGCACCTCGGCGTTCAAGGTCTTGGATGCGTATTGTTGCACCTTCGTCTTCCTGAGATGCTACCATTAGTTCTGCTTGATATTCTGCAACCTCATTTGCGGAACATGACAATCTATGATTGAGTGCATTGACCTCATCAAATACATTCTGATTGTGTTCCCGAAGATACTCAGTGAATCTGATCTCGATGTCATGAATCAGTTGATCCCTAGATGCAGCGTATGCTTCCATGTTGTTCAGCTGATTACGTAGGGATTGACATTGTGCCCGTAGTTCCTCTATCATGGCAATAGGTTCACTAGCCACAGAAGTATCCGTTGATCTCCTCTTAACACGACTATCCCCGGTCCTCTCACCAATTCGGTCGGTCACGGCCCTGGTGGATCTGTCCCTTGGAGTAGTACGTCCTCGAGATGGTCGATGCCCTTGGCGGACAACATCACTCCGAGCACTGTTTCGAGAAGATCTAGGTGTACTTTGGGTGGATATTCTTCGTCTGTTTGATGTGACTTGCCATCCGGACTGTGTAGTTCGGGTAGAGCGTATCCCGCCACTGTCTGCCGTGTCGCCAGGGGAAGATTGATTGACCTCCTCGACCGGCATAGCAGCGTTCTCATTGAAGGTAAACTGCGTGGTGCGCGAATCTCCGCTGCCGCCTTGCATCTTTGCGATGGTGAGCTGATTGGTCCTTTGCGTCCTCAATCAATTGCTCAGACGGCCCGGCTACCAGCACGCAGGTACCACTCTCCCGGCGGGAGAAGTGAGCCCTACGGCTGATAACCTGTGAACAAATTGATCCTTGTTCTGGATATCTTTCGGTTGTAGTTCCCTATGTGCTGATAGTCAGAGCTGTCAAACCATGCAGCAGCGGAGCGCGTTATTTTGGCCTCGCAGTGGGTCTTGAGCCAAAGTGGCGTCCCATGCAAGAATGTGCACATGCTCAGCATGTGTGACTACTGTGTTATCTCGTTCCCCTTCGCAATATATATATATAATGATAGGTTCTTGATGCTCCTCATACTTGGATCAAGACTCTGCATCCATGATCACCGGGAGCATCCCATGATTCCAGTGCAATGGTAGGTGCATCGTTGTTTTCCGTTCGCCCGGATTCAAATGGGCCCGGGGGCTCAGCGATTTTCGCTCACATACCTGGTGCGGTTGGGTTTTTTTCCCTGCTTGCAGCCATACCAACAGGGTCAACGTGTGGAACCCACAAAATTATGCTGCAACCATCGGCCTGGGGAACAGCTCAGCCGTAATCTTTGGAGCCGTCCACCCGAGGTCTCTGAGCTTCTGTGATAACCTGGTGATGCGTGTGGAATCAAAGCAGGTCCTATCGGATGGGCCATGCAACCTAGATGCATCTCATTCTATATCTATCCTATGTATACATGGTATATTATACATGCATACTATATAATATAATATATTATACACAAAAATATATAAATGTACGTTATAGATCGGTGTAGATAGTAGATAATAGATACACACAAAGGTTGCAACCAGCATAATCCATTGCAAACTTCTTGAAACTGGGCCTAGAAAAATCCCAATCCCGGTTCCTGTCCGAGATTGTCCAGCTCCGAGGCACCAATTCAACCGCTTGGCATTGACCCCTAGATCCAGGTATCCCAAACGGCTGGCGGATCTCACCAACACTTCACCTGGGAAGGTCAGCTGATGTTTGGAAATCCCAGGTTAAACAAATAAGGAACCATAAGGAACCATAAGGAACCAATAAAATTATATAAAATTCAAACACCCAAGAAGAATGGGATTGCTGAATTCTGGCGTTGTTGTCAACTTCTGGGAGACTTAACATGGCTTAAACTCTAAAAAAAACTGCTAAGCCAAGTGGTAGCTTCCGGAATCTCCATTGGTGGGCTTCCTTAGTGAAATCATCGTGAGATGATCAACCAGATTCAGCGACAAATCGTATTTCAGGGATCAGGGTCGCCTTATATTCTGCACTGCATCAAAAGATGTTGGTCAATAAACCCAAATATAGAATCCACATTTGTTTTCGGATGCCACAAGCAAATAAATTGCACCAGTATTGTACTCATCAGCACTCAGGTAGCTAAGCACGGTTCAATCAACATGCATGAAATGATCGCCAGAGTCACCAGGAACACTATGCCACTGAAACATCAATACATATCAATAGAACACAATATAACAAACATGAACAAACCAGAATTCCGACATATTCAGACTATCAAAAACCCAACTTACTGCCAAGTCAGCAGAGTCCCTCTGAAGTCAGTTCCAAGTGTCACCAGGAACTCCACGTCATCAATGTAACCGCGCTTCAAAGATTCAAATTGCACGTAGACATATCCCTTTTCATCGAGGTTTTGAATCTGAAAGCCACCTGAGGCACAGTTAGATGGGAAAAACAACTGATACGTGTTTTCCATGTCTTTTCCATGTCTTCTCCATGTCTTTTCCATGTCTTTTCCAGCGACCGAAATGACTCTGGTGCCAGCAGAGATACTCTACATTGCTGAATCATTGTTGTACCATTTTCTTATCCATGGCATTGCTGTTCAAGTCTTCTCAGTCTCTCAGAACATGCAACCCATTACGGTACGTATAAAATACGTAGAATATGTCCTGGTAAGACAATTGGTCCAAGTGAGGGTATCCTTCGCGAAGAAACGCCAACCGGCCTGAACACATAGAGAAAAACTGCCAAAACATGGTGCTGATGAGTCAGTTTTCTGTTGTTCCCATTTTTCCATATTTATTCCATTTTGACAAAATTGATCCATTTTGGCTTTTCGATTTATTCCACCAGAATATCCAGGACCCTGCCTCCATCTACGTCCTGCTGGCCAGGTGGGTACAATTTGATCACCTTCTCCAAATCCTTGGTCCAAATGCAAAGCACATGACATCTGGCCAATGTATATTATATGATATGATATGGCTCAATTTGTTGAAGCCCAAGAATTTTCGCAAACTCTACATTTCCTGGAACCTCATAATTATTGTGACCCACATACTGTCACATACCCCACTTTTGATGTTTTGCTTTAGTTTTTCCCAAAGGGAAGAATCTTCGTCCCCAGCGTCAGCCATCGCCTGTGCTTTACCACCAGACGGATAGCTCCATGGCCTTAACGCAGCTTGGCCAGGGGAATGGTTTTAAACATGGTTTTACCATGTGTTTGCTGGCTATCTATTCAACAAAAAATCACTAAACTTCACATTGGAAAATGAAATCATACAGTAGGATTAAAATGATTAAATTGGATCACATATAGTCATAAAATAGGAATCGTTGCCTGAGAAGTTTTGGAGTTGAAGGATGCTCCAGACCAACAAGACTTTTTGAGAATGAAGGGGTCAAAATCCTACCATCTACATAGACACTTCTGAGCTAGAGTGGATTGCAGCAAATATGTCCAAAAGAGAATCACATAGAATCACTGTACAGCCAGGACACTTGAGATAATGCTCATCACTGGATGTCGAAGAGAAGCAGTTGGGTGCAACACCACACTCCTGGATTTGGCCTTTGCCAACACCTGCTGGTTGGGGTCCAGGAGTCTTGGGACCCTTGGCCAAAAAGATCCGGTTCTCAAAAGCCATGGCCTGGGATGAAACATGGGACACAATGGATGGAACAAGCCTTGAATATCCGTAGCGACCCGTTGGATTGGCTCACCCCTAGTGCGCTGTGATGCGGTCTGACTAGAAAAATCATGAAACATCTATAACATCACTGAAACTAGAAAACAAAGAAAATAACACTATAATATGGAAACTAGCAATGCGAGCCATCTGGGGCAGATCCAATGCGTTTTTTTCCGGAACATTCCGGAACAATGCACCAAAATGCACCAAACAACCAGCCAAAATCAGCCAAGCTGCAGATGGACTGCCGATGGCCAAGGGCAACACGGCCAGCATCCGTCTCTGCACCCATGACCTTCATCGAAAGCACGGTTGGGGGATTGCAGGGCCAAAATGTGGAGGCTTTGCTTGACAAGGAGCAGGGAATTTGCCTGGTAGTATCAGTATTTGATAGATTTTGATAGTATTTGAAGGTGATGAATCATGGTGCTCAGATATGCTCAGATCCTCCAGGATTAATCATTGCCAATCCCCATATATTGCATCAACCGCTGGAGGCACCTCTGAACGTGTCCATTGCCGCTGCAGGCAATGCTTAGCAACAGGATCAACCTGTCAGCTCTGGGACCCTGGTATATTCACAGGATGACTACAAGGGATGTCAGCCAACAATGGACAGATTTTGAGGGTCTGTTCTATGTATCCTATAACTTATAGGTATAACATACAGAAACATACAGACACAATGAAATTATTTTTGGCTTAAGGTCACAGCGCATTTGAGGATATATTATGGAGGTAATTTCAGGTTTTGGGGACGTGCCAGCAGCTGACCCATCCTGACCCCTCGGCCTGAAACATCGCCCGTGGCAGGGTTTTGCCTGTCGAATAGGTCAAAATGATTCGAAATGATCATCCAAGGACAGTGAATCAAACTGGATGCTTACTAAGATTGGCCAAGACTTGCAGTTTCTTGATGTTTCTTGGGTCTTAAATGATGCTCAGTGCCCAAATTCGTTATCAGGGTTTGTAGGATCCGCATTTTTAAGACACACACACATACACACACATCTTGTCCGATGCGTACCTGCCTGAGAATCACTGTGGGACCTTAAATCTGTGTGTGTGTCTGTGTGTGCCCATCTCATTTCCTGCCCAGCACCAACCCAAACCTCTTTGGGCATCCTGTCTGTTGCCATGGCGGCAATCGTGTGTCTTCGCAATTCCATGTTTTCATCAGGTGCTCTGATTCTGCTTCTGACACATCAGACTCCAACCTTCAGATGAATTTCCGGGATTCCGCCTGACTGTCAGGACTTCTACGTGAACTTGCGTGACGCATGCGAGGAAGAGTTTGTCTCCTGATTCATGTGCCACTTGGCTGCGGTATTTACGAGATTAACAACTCATCGTGAGTACCGCATGTGCAAAAGAAATGTAAACCTGATTCCACGTTTTCAGCCAGAAATCTCACTATTACACTGTTGAAACCAGCTGACAAGTCAAAGTCTCTGAAGGAAGGTCAGCATGCGTCTCTCAATCATTGCATGTGAGTGAGGATAGGATCATTCGAGCGAAAAATTATAGGAAGCCATGGTCCTCCAAGATAAAATCAAATAAATACAGGTGTTTCCTGTAAATCCTATGTAGGTGTTCCCTTCATCTAATTCGGGGAAAGGAAGTTCGCTGGTGCAGATTGGCATCCTTCAGCGCAGCTTTTGGCATCGCTATTGGCATCATCTGATCCGCCACGATCATTTCCCCCAGCAGCCCTTCATGTTGTACGCCTGGTTCCGACACATGCCATCGGCATGACCCTTCTGGACAGAGATTGCAAAACGAGAATTGATCCCTGAGATCACGTAAATGGGTAGTGCAACAAACCATGTGGTACAACATGGTACAACCCCTCATAACAATCAACCAGGTGAATTCAAGCCACTTTTACATGTCAAATGTCCACGTTCCCATACTTGCCCCATTTCGAATATTTTGATGAGTTGAGTAGCATCATGTAGCATCATGTAGCATCCGTATGTTTGGCTTGTTACATCATGTCACATCATGTCACATCCCCCTTCCTGCTGTGTCCATCCGTCCATCCGGTTGGGGTCCCCTGCCGGGCCAGGGAGCCCCGGAAGGCCCTTGCCCTTAGGACCTTGAGATCAGCTAACAGCAGGACATCATGGACATCATCATATGCAAAGCGCGTTTCCATGACGGTTCTATGATGGTTATGCCATGTTATGCCATGATTCCATGTCTTATAGTCTATAGGAATGGACTTCACAGCTTCCAGGTAGTCTCTGTAGTAGTCGTGTAATGCATTGATTGATGCGAAATTTGGCAAAATCAACTCATCTCAGTGCATTTCGCCCTGCACCGCGCAACTGTGCAACTGCGCAACTCACTTTTTCTCCTCAGCAAACTACACTCCTCGCCTGCCACGCGGCGAAACCTGCCTGATGCAGCTGCCAGGTCGTTTCACCCCACGGGGCTAACAATGGCAGGGCCAACTAATCACTTGTAGCACAGGCAGCTCAGGTATTCAAACAGCAGGGGGAAGGATCAAAGTGGCACACTGCAGTTCGATATGTTCGATGATACCAGGTTCTTTAAAGAAACAGCCATCCACAGGAAACCAGACAGATACTAAAAGTTATCCAGTTCCCAACAGTATCAACAGAAACAACATTGAATTGGGGGACGGGGGCGTCATGATGTCTATGGTCTTGTACTTCATGGGATGACTGTTTTTCTGAATAACTCGGTACTGTACTTCATGTCATTGTTTCAGTAGATGGGACAAATACAGATCTCAAATACTGGACATGAATGTCTGTTAGCTCCCTTTGGCACCCAGTTGTTGGAACATGTTGGAACAAGGCTCCACTTGCACAGTCAGGGCAGCCAGCAGTGTCCGCTGCGGCGCCATGAAAGTGAGGGCCTCAGGCACTGCACAACAGGATACAACAGGTGCTGCTGTGAAAAAATATGTCTCCAGATGCGAGTCTCCAGATTCGCAGATCATTTTATATAGTACAATAGTAGAGATATCTATATTCCATTCTATTCCATTCTATTCCATAGATTACCTACAGGAGCTACATCTTTCATCATGTCGTATTGGTACTTTCTGTGTGAGGTGTTTTTTGTTGACTTCAGCAACCACATCCTGCCACATCCAGCAAGAAACTGCCAGGCCAACACTGGCCACGCTGTTGATGCCACAAACCAAGGAGGTCACCCGTTTCTGTCCCAGCTGCCCCTGGCTGGACATGGCGTATCAAAGGCTGTAAGGCTGGCATGGAAATGTGGTAAAGTGTCACTTTAGTTAGTGTGATAAACTGTGATTAGAACTGAAAAACCATAGAATGGACACCTGGAAAACACAAAAAACAAGGGCTACCAAAATGTTTTGTTGATCTTTGACCATTGGTCAAGGGCTTGAACAATGATTTCGCTACGCTTGAAGGCACTGGACTTTGAAATGAAGTCACAAACAAACAGTTGGATGCATGTAGACCTAGTTGTTATATGAGTGCACATCGGATTGAGGGAATCTCTTCGTTCAACAGTTCAACTCATAATTTAGGAGCATCTTAAGAAACATATCATTGCATTTGGATCAGGACGAAGGCAACCATCCTCTCTCTACCAGATTAGGTCGATGGGAAGAAATGCAGGTAAAACCATGGAAAACCCTCATATGCCTCACATTTGGGTAGAAAAACCTGTGTTCCCTATAAAATATATTAAAATCCGCCCACACCGCTTTGGCGGTGAAGGCGTGCTTATTGGGGGGCAAAACAGCAACACTAAATGCTCAATGACATTTGTTAATATAGCAGTCGCTATATCAGCTTTAGCTGGGGGGGGGCCAAAAACGGTTTCGCACCGAGACCAGAATACGGTGGTGTTTTCGACATTTTTCGAGGATTTTTGGGTGTCTGAGCGCAAGAGGGTATTGAAATGGAATTTTGGGTCATTTTGGTAGCTTTCCGGCAATGGAAAAACGGCCAAAAATGAAAAAAACATTGTACATAGCAAGATTTTGCAGGGTTTTTGGATGCCAGAGCATTGAAAACACTGCAAAAACAAGTGTTTTGGACTGACGTTATAGCAAAAAACGTGTAAATTACCGTATGCTTGACTGGAAACATTACAAAAACACTGTCAAAAGCAATGTTTTGGAAGGATTTACTGCCTTTATGGCAAAAAACGTGTAAATTACCGTCTGTTTGACTGGAAACATTGGAAAAACACTGTCAAAAACAATGTTTTGGAAGGATTTCTTATATATATGTTGGAGTTGGCTACCGGCATTGGAACATGGAAAAATTGAAGAAAACACTGTAAATAGCGGTATTTTCAACGGTTGGGGAGATAAGGGAATTGGAAGCATTGTCGAACATGATGTTTTCGACCGGTTTTATGGCGACAAAAGTGTAAAGTACCGTGCTTTGAAGGAAACCATTGCAAAAACATGGAAACACATTCAAAGAACACGGGATTTGGGGGACTATCTAGGCGTCGTTGTCTAGCTATTTGAAATTCCGCAGCTTGGAGAGCCTCCAAGGGAGGGAAAAGTGAAAATTCCATAGCTTGGGAAGCTGTCACGGCGGGGAAAAGTGAAAATTCCCTAGCTTGGGAAGCCCCCACGGGGGGGAAAAGTGAAAATTCCCTAGCTTGGGGAGCCCCCACGGGGGGGAAAAGTGAAAATTCCCTAGCTTGGGGAGCCCCCACGGGGGGAAAAGTGAAAATTCCCTAGCTTGGGGAGCCTCCACAGGGGGGGAAAAGTGAAAATTCCCTAGCTTGGGGAGCCCCCACGGGGGGGAAAAGTGAAAATTCCCTAGCTTGGGGAGCCCCCACGGGGGGGAAAGTGAAAATTTTTAGCTTGGGGAGCCCCCACGGGGGAAAACCACCCTTAGCCTCTCACGGACCGAAATAAACCTGCGGTGTGGGCGGCCACCCCACGCGAAGCGGGGTGAATATGACATAATATGACTCAATTAAACCATATTAAACCCCTTGATTCTTTGATCCGGCTCCATTTGGCACCAACAGCGGAGCTGTCCGACCTTCAAGGGCTCGTTCAGCAGCAGGGTGCCCCACAAGGTCGTGACAGCTCCAAGGGGTCCTTCGAACTCCAACCAGTCCAACCATTTCATGTTTGGAACATTTTGGAACCATTTTCAGTTCTTAAGTCATTCTTGTCTGTGACTGTCTGTGGTTTTATTTTTCAAAGTCAAGTTGTTTTCCCCTCAAAACATCCTCAACAAGTTTATAGGATTTTATAGGATCATTGCCCCTTGGAATGTACAGCTGCATACAGCACAGCTATCAGATGCTATCAGTACCATCGTTGCTGAACGCTTCACACCGTTCACACCAGCCCCTCAGCAACTCCGCGGCCGGGCATCGGATCAATTTCTCCGGCACAGGAGCCAGGTGTGGCGACAGCGCCGGAGGTTTCAGCAGCAACAAGGGACCTGGCAGCAACCGGCGCTTGGTGGTTGAAGCACCAACGGTGCCATGTATGGAGGATACATGATGGGGATATAAGTGGGATATGTTGGAGGACACTTATATTAAGGATATATGATGAGGATTTCCTCAGCGGTATGAATGAATCAATGCACCTAGTGTTGCACACCAGTAGCCATCGGCAACCACCGCAGAAGCGCCATCGTCAGCCATCGACTCTTTCTGTGTCTGTGTCACTTTGAAACATGCCTTCCAACCTGGGTAGACTGGGGTTTGGAAAAACCGTAAAAAGGTATCCTCTTTCAAGCAGCTTGCTCGGCTGCTCAGTAAGCTCAGTATGCTCTGTCAGGCTCTGTCAGTATCTTCAGGTTGGTTTTGTGTGCTCCTTCTGCCCCTGCCGAAACGATGGCCACAAGCTCGGTTGATGCTCTTTGCTGTGACGATTCTGCTGATTTTGGATTGTCTTTTAACTCTCGAAACCTAAGAAAGAAACATCAGAAGCCGAAACCGCAGCATTAAATTCATCAGATTCAGCTGCCTCTAAGACTTGCTCAAGTATTCGTCCAGGAGTCCGCCAGCACAGATCTAAGTCGTCAAGTCGTCTAAGTTCCAAGCGCATAAATTGGGAAGCACCTGCCCAGGCTGTGAGGCGCTCTGGAATGAGTGATTTGACAATGACCAAAGGAGATTTTCAAGGTGGCTCCATCCTTTGTTGCTGGGCACATGCCATGGCTGCCATGCTGCACAAGTGCTTTCAAAACATACAAAAAAAGTGCAAAAAATACCGGTCGCTTGGGGTCATCAGCCCCTTAAATAGGTTAAAAAAGAATTTGAACATACAACAGCAGTTGAACATCTTTGAAACCATCAAGATCACCCCCACATATACATAAATAAATATAAATAATCACACATATCTGGAACATGTTTGAAGCCACCACTTTGTTCAGTGATTGACCCCGTTGCTCCCGGATGTCCCGTGTGCGTTGCCTGTGGGCTGCAAATCAAAGGCCTGCGGCTTCATGTCCTGGCCGCTTCTACCCAGTACCCCTCTCCAGCGGGTTGTGACTAATATATACTGGGATGTTGTGGACTATAAACGACTATAAAATATGATGTCTTTTGATGTTTTATTGATGTTTTATTGATGTTTTATTGATGTTTTATTGATGTTTTATGATGCTTTATGATGTTTGTTGATATCTTATGATGTTTGATGATGTGTTTTGACGTTCAAAATACCTTGAATCTTGAAATGCAGTTGACGTTCAGTCGGCCAGTCGCTGATCACTTTGCTTGCCCTTTTGGTCATCGATCAGTTGGCCTCTGGGAATCCAGTTGATTTCCAGTTGCCATCCCCTGTGGCTTTGGCATCGTGATACCCAGGGCTTCACGACAGTGAAAAAGACCTTCAAAGTGCTCATTGCTCTGCCCTGCAGTCCTTGCTAAGCAAGATGGCAAAATTCACTTCGGTGCCAATGGGAAGCGCTCCCACCTCACGCAGCACACTCCAATGATTCCTCCACGTAATAAGAATCCGTTGACGCCACATCTTCCCACATATATGGGTTTGTCTGAAAATAGTGTGTCCCTAAATTCATTGGTTCATCATCATTTTCGGGACACTCACTTTTCAAATCCACATCTTGATGCAATCATACTGCGCGGGCCTGATTCTTGTGCACGTAGACATCGGTTTGAAAGACAGCCTGATATCTCAGGTATGATCTGCAGCTCGGACAATCGCGCTTGCTTGGACTCAAGGTGACTTCACAACTGTCAAGTACGTCTAACTCCAATTAGCACTTGTGTATGGCTTGAAACCCTGCTGTTTGCGGCAAAAGAGCTAGCAAGTGGATGTCTGTACCTTCATTCCGATGGTACCATGGTGTCCCATGGCTATTGAATCTATTGATCAATCTCTCTCCCACCAGACCAAATTGTCCACCTTCAACTCAGGGCAATCAATGAAGCCCACACCATTGCCGGAGTTCACTTGTAGGATCCGTCCGGTCCTCAGGTGGCCAGTGAGGCTGACACATCACGGAAGAGAAGTGTGGGGAATTTCAGTGAAACTTCAAGATTGCAAAGTTAGGGAAAATGATCAAAAATTATAATCTTAGCATATCATGAATATATATATATATATTATAATATCTTATCAAAAATTGGAATCATTTGGATGTCATGTCACTTCCAAACCATTCCCCGAAGTCATCGTTTTCCCCTGACCAGTCTTCAGCTCCCAACGCCCTTCGCTTGGTCAGCGAGTCTGCTGGGGCATAGGTGAGATCCTTAATTGGGTCATCTGGGTGGTCGGCCGGGCCCTACTTGGGAAACTTCCATGGGGGCGTCTTGAAAATCTGAAAATGTGGGATTTGATGGGATTTGGGATGTATTTGGATATGAGTAAAGATTAGGGTACTGCAGAAAATACTTCCAAAAAATGCGAAATTGTCACTGGTTCCTTGGGTCTTGGGTTTTGACCCCTATCTGCTATCTAAATCATGGCTACAGAATCAAAGTAAGAAAATGGGTATGTAACCATACCCTGCCATACCATGGTATGCTGAATGTACGTCTACCGGGAAACTCAACAACAGTGCAAATGTCATGCGTCTACACTCAAAACATATCAGGAATGTGAGTCAAGACTGGGACTTGGGTTCACCAGTTTTGAGAATTCGCTCCGTTTGCGGTTTCATTGTTCGAGCCTCATGGCATTCGGTCGAAGCCCTATTTATTCTCACCGCATGAGTGGTCAGTACCAATAGCAGTCATCAATATAGTTGTCCTCAATCTGATAATATGGTATACGGTATACCGGTATACCCAATAATAAACTATCCTAGTAACCCACCGTTTGGGGTCATAATAAACATCATCCGGTCCAATAAATAGGGCTATCTCCAATTTTCATAAATCCCAAATCTAGAGTCTAGAGATGGTTTATTGATGTTTCTTCTGGTTTCTTGTGGTTTATCAGGTTTCTGGCAGGTTTGATCAGGTTTTACCCTCTGGTAAACTAACATAACTATGGAAAATCACCACTTTTCATGCGAATACTCACTATAAATGGCCATTTTCCATAGTTATGTTAGTTTACCAGAGGGTACCTCACTCCAAGCCGGTGCACCCCAGGGGACCCCCAGGTCCCGGGCCGGCACTGCACCGTTGACCACACCAGGTGCAAGTTCTGGTCGTTTCTGCAAGGTCCCAGTGATGACCTGCAGCCCCAAGGATTATGGCAGGTTTACCAAAAGGTTGGATGTAGAGAAAATCAGTTTGAGTCAAGAAATATGGTGAAATAAAAAAACATAAATATAATATTAATATGTATATATATATATGTGTGTATATATTATAATATATATTATATATAGTATATATTATAATATATATATATATGTATGATAATATATATTATCATACATATTATATATATAGTATATATATATATAGTATATATACGTATATTATATATAATATACATATATGTATAACTGACCAAAACTCACATTATTTCACCATCGCATCTTGAGCTTCTGGCAGCGAGTAACGTCTGGTCATCCAGCGCCGCTAAGGCTTGCAGCATCGCCCTTAGTCAACTGGTCGATGTAAATGGAGGGCCAACTGGCATACTATGGTACACCATATGTTATGTTATATACATATATATATATATATTATTATTATTATTAAAATTATTATTATTATTATTATATATATATATATTGTTATTTGATACCGCACATCTACAAAATGACCCTGGCAACACTGCATGTCCACAATTATGACACGCATCAACGAATCCATGATGTTCGGATTTACTTTATGATGTCAGGCACCACTGTGGTACTAATGTCCACAGAATTCGCAAAGTCATGCAAAGTCATGCAAACATCATTGCTCAATATCCAGAGGTTTCCCAAAATCATTGGGAGTGAAGCAAAATTCCATGGGCAATCATTACTTGCCGAAGGCCTTAACAACATCATGATCATAATCATGACTCATGACTTTAAGTGATGTTAAAGCCACAAAATCATCAAAATACGCCCTTTCTGTGCACCAATTCATCCCATGAAACTGCCAAGATGCTGCGGATCCATTGCCCCAGGTGAACCTTTAGTTTCAGCACTGGAATCCAGCTGGGAGGCTTGGGAACAAGGGAAAACCCAGATGGCCAAATGTTTTTTTTGTTTGGGGCAGAATCCTATATGTCTAGTGGTGACCTAGTTTCTCCGCGTCAATGGCCATACCAACAATCGCTATTTTCACTACTTGTATTAGATCCCAACGTGATGGTGGCTTAATCATGTTTAATCCCCTTTTTCGTATTGATGATATAAACGTGATTAAACCCCATGATTAAGCCACCATCGAATAGGAGATTCAACATATTAACCATCATCACATCACATTCAAACCTCTAGCTTTCCTCAGTTACAACCATCACAAACCCCTCCAAATATTTATGTCATTTATGTCTGCAAGAAAATGCTATAAATGCCCTGGATTGTATCCCACTAAACCCTCCAGCAATGCTTAAGCCTGTGTCCTGGGATGTCCTGGGCCACCCTGGCGGAGCTCCCCTCGCCAGGCACCGCGGCGGCCCACTTCCGCGGAGAGCCGGAGCTGTGGTGCTCGTGGCTCTGGGTAGCCGTTGAGTGGGATCTCAAAATCGAGCCCCTCAAATTCCCATGTTTAGCCGCTTAACCTGTTGTGTAAGTTTTGTGCTACCCATTTTTGAAGAAACCCAAGTTATGAATTGTGGACAAAACCATTTTAGACCTGTTTAATTTGGTGCTACTGATAAACCACATGAAGCGGAAACCACACCAAGTCTCACGCGGCCACACAAGCAGGACAAAGAAGGGAAGATAATCATTTAATCGAAGATAGGATATAAACTGACACTGGTATCCACCATATTCCAAGTCTAAGATGGTTTTCTTATGATGTTGTTCTATGTTTTTCTGGTTTTCCTGTGGAAAATTGGGTTTATCATGGTTTATCCTCTAACGTCCTGCCGCATTTTTGGACGCACCGAAGCACGCCGTTGAAATTTTCAGGCTTCAGCTGCTGCGACACACAGCTGGCCACCTGGCCACGGTGCGTTTGAACATGTGTCCTGCTACAGTCAACTCCACCACAAGAAAGCATCCCATCTGTCCCATGTCCCATTTATGCATATTTATGCATATTTATGCGGCTTGTTGTCCATCTTTTTGACAAATTGACTGCCATCAACACTGCCGCCACCGCCTATATAGCTGTGCTAAGCTGGTGGGTTAATGACAGGTTGTACATTTGCACAAAAATGTGGCTGGATTTACGCGACTACCATCGTAAAATTGAATTTCTCATAATTTCTCCATCAATAATAAGTATTCAGCATTCATTTAAAGGTAAAATATAGACCCTCCCTTCTCACGTCTTGAAGACTTAGACAGTTGCCGCCAAGATCTGATTTTTCGAAGCGCAGTGTATAGTGTACCTGGAGGTGGTCAGTGTGCAAGTGGAATGCCAAATGAACGAAAGGAATATGAAAGGAATATGAAACACTTCAGTCTCGTAATCTTGCAACTGCTTAGTGCAAAGACAGAAAGCGTTGCCTTTTGACGCCGCCTGCATACACGATAGTCGAGTTGGTATATCAAATTGTGTCTTGTTCTGACATGTCTAGCGGATGTCTATCAGAGGCACGCAAACCAGGGCTGACTCTTGGAAATCAATATCCGTAGTGGTGGAGATTTTGGACCCAAGTGGTGGAGAATTCCAACCTCCATGGAAAGATGTGGAAAGGATATACTCTCTGGTGAACTAACATAGCAATTGAAAATGGCCATTTATAGTGGGGTAAAGGGAATGTTCAACTGAATAAGCCCCAGCCCGTACCTCCCTACGTGCTCTCACACTCTGATCAGCGATGCAGCCGCTTCGAAGTTCACTCTAGCCCTACTGGGAGTACCTCCACATCCGTGGCAACTTCAAACGATGGAAGCTTGCCGTTGGAGCTATCGAAGGTCAGTTTCCGAATCTCTGGACCCGCATTCGCCGGAAATCGGAAACCTTGCCCAACATGTTACATGTTTGCCAATGTTGATGAACCTCTTCTCACAGTTTGCCCGCATCTTCTCTGTGGATATCCACTCACTACTGAGCATATGTTCACGACAGTCATCCAACTTGCAGCCCAACATGTGCAGCTTTTGATCTCCACAAAGTCACCCTGGTTTTGGTTATTATATCGTGAAGGAACTTGCAGCACACAGGCAGTCTGATGGAAACGTTCGATGTAAAATGTGTTCTTCATCTTCTCACTCAAACCAGCCAGCGCTTTTATGAAGGATCCCCCACAAACGAAGTCATAGTCCGCCCAGTTCATGCCACGTTTTACCATGTTTTACCATGATGGCAATGCCAAAACGGCATATCCCTGGCGTGTCAGGATACTGATGAGCACCCATGTGTCGGATGCTTCGATGGGATGCAGGCCCAAGCTGTGGAAGCGCTGCCGGACATGTTGGAATGGTGATGACTGGAGGGGTTCTGTCAAAGCTGCAGCGTCTCAGAAGGTCTTGAAGGTGCGGAGCCTTGGTCAATCCGTGAGTGGAACACCCTTCCTCAAAAGTGTTATCCCAGTGGGCCAGAACTCTGTCCTTTATCCGCACCCAGCTTGGATCATCTGAAAGGGCATGAATTTCATCACGGACTGTCTGAAGTTGTTCGAAATGGGGTATAGCAGCCAGGACTTCATCAACTGCATAGCCCAGCTGTTGGTGAAATCGCTTGAAGTGAGGATCTAAAAGCACTTCCCGAAGGTTGCCGAAATCCAGCTGTCCAGGGAAAGGCTCATAAACTTGTGCAAGTTCTGGCTGGGCCTCGACGACTGCCATGCGGTGCCTCTCACTCCGTAAGTGCGACACTGCCGCGTGTAGACTGTGAATCCCAGAGTTGCAAAGCAAACAGGTGGCTGGACCGGCTGGACACTGGAAGTTCCCCTTCCCCTTGCCCTTGCCTTTCCTGTCAAAGTTGCCCTTCCCCTTTCCCTTCCTGCCGCGTTGGATCATGGCTGGCCTCACGGATCTACTGAAAATCTGATGTAGGAATTTTCTGACCTGGGGAGGCTTCCACCCTGTTTGCCTGAAGCATTGGTGCATCCAACAGTTCTCATTAAGAACCACCATGGTGCAAATCAAATGAGTGATGCATAGTGATGCTGCATGCCCCAAAAAAATCGCGGACAAGAGAAGTTGCGAGTACACAGCGCATGCAAACATGACAAACTTTCTCCAACTGCAGTCCTTCTGCAAAAAAAAAGTACTCCCAACAACTGCTTGGCAAGCACAATCAGAAATGCTGTGTGGGCGCACTTTTTCTAGACGAAGATCTTGCTCCAGTAAAGGCAGAAGGATTGATGGCTATGCAGATTTGCTTTCGGTTTCGTATGAGGGGGCACGAATGGCTCATGGTGGGTGAACAAGGTCATGTCTCTAACTCAATGACTCATAGATTTTTTTCGCTCAAAATTGTGCGCTAGTAAGAACACCCCAGCGGGTTCCAATAATTTTGATCTGTTCCCATATAGACACCACAAGACACCACCAGAAAAATGGAAAAGTACAGTAAATCGCCATTGGTGTTGAAACCTCTCCCACAAGGGTTCTCAAACATCGGAAACCTCGACTGTGCCCGGGTTCCCTCCACCTCCATGCTACTTTCCACCTGCAGGCCCTCGTCATTGAGGCAATGGCTGCAAGTGAGGCTCTCCTTGCAATTGGAACCAGCAATAACCACCTCGCCCAAAAGGAATCGCAACAAAGATTGGTAGCGAATCAATGAAGCAGAAGAAAGTCACATTGAGAATGCAGACTTTTAAGATGATTTTGAAAAACCTGGACGTAAAAATAATGCCCCCAATCTATCCCAATCTGCTTTCCTTTAAAGGGCCAACAGCCAACGGCATCTCCTTCATTAGATGACAGCCTTGGCAGGTCTCCAAATAGGGGCCCTGCGGAAGTCGTCTGCCATTGGGTACTCCTTGACAGGTCCTGGTGTCAGCATGTGTCAGCCATAGCCATGGACACAACTGTTTCAGGTCCTCATATCATCGTGGGTATTTGACTAGTACTTGTACCTGAACATAGCAGCTAAAATCATACTGCCCACAATGGATCAAGTTTGGGTGGCTGATTTTAATTGCCGTGACTCACAAATGTCTGGGTCCCAACTGGTGAAGCCCTTTTCGATACCCCAAACACATCCAAATACAACCTTGTGGCCCCCAGTTTCACGCTGAGTGTGAGGCAACTCCTCTAGAAAGCCACGATTTCTCGTCTTTTCATATCGGTCTAGAGTAGTTGGTTGGGCGCTCCGCCCAGGTATTGCCAGGCGTCAATCTTCCCTCCAAGTTATGCAGCTCTGCTGGGCTGCGGCAGCGGGAGATGTCGTAGGAGGATTCCAAGAACTTCCCAGTTGACTGCGCACATTGGCCTCAGCCGATCCGCAAGTTGGTGTTGGAGTCAATCCTATGGATCAGGTTCGCAAACAATGTCAGGATTGTGGGGCATTCAAGACTGTCAGATTTCCTTGGGTCTGACTCTGAGACAAAAGAGCCTTCATGCTCTGTGAACATGGATGTATTCGGACGTGTACGATTGAGCAGATTGGCCTTCGATGCTTCGGTGACATTCAAAATTGTGGTTTGCATGCTTCGACTTCACACCCCTGGCCCCTGGCTACACCTTTACTACAAGTATCATCAAGATTCATCAAGTATCGACAAGTGCTACATTCTCCCAATCCCTGCGGCCAGTGGTAAACCCGCCATGGCCAGGGAACACGTCAGGAAGTCACCGGTCTGTTGACCTCAGGGTGCAAATTGAAGTGTTGGGCACTTCAATTAGCAGCGAAGGCACGACACATTATCGCATCAACTCAAGGTAGGCAAGTGCTTGGCGAGAGCACTGCTTTTTTAAAGCGTAAACTAACATAACTAACCGATGCAATCCGATGGCTCATGCGGCATGCGCAAAAACAGAAAAACATTGCCGTCGAAATGTGTCTCCCATCAGTCGAAGGGGCATTGCGAACAGCTCTTCTTGTAAGGTCCATCAAGTGCTCCGCTACAAACGAGTCGACCATCCTGGAGACCGAAGAAAGAACATACAGAGATCTAAAGATTCTTAAGCGTTCAAGATCTTTTAAGAAACTCCAAGCATGTTTAAAGATTCAAACCCATCCGTTGGTCATTTTTGCTCTTAACCATCCAATGTTTGAAGGAATCATCCAATTTTCACCATTTTGAACCCATCCAAAGTCCATGTCGTCCTGGTTCTCCAGTCGCGCTGGCCGAGTGCACGTCTCCATCGAATGGCTGGCTTCCATCTGCCGCCCATCGGCGCGCCGGCAGAGGGGGCAGACCACCGAGCCCGAACTCAGATGGCATCCCTGGCCTGGAGCGTCCAGTCAGTGGACCTGGACCCATTTAATGGCTCAGTATGGCTCAGTCCTGGCTCAGTGTTAGAGTATCAAATCCTCCAATCATCAATCCATGTTAATTCATCTTGTTGGTCACTGTTTGCATTATATTATACACACCATCCATTTTGATCCATTTTGTCTGTCATATCTGTCATTTTTACTAGACTGTCCATTTTTGAGAGGGATGATACTTCTGACATATAATTGCTCAGTTGGGCAGCCCATCCATGGTTGCACAACATGGAGGTACACTGCTCAGCCGGGCCACAAGACTTCAGGTATGGTCCATCTGGACAGGCCGCATCATTTGGTACCTAGGATGAACAGAATCGGCTACCGGCAACGGAGCCAATGGTGGGAAGTTGGTTGTTTACAGGTTCTCCTCATTCCGAGCGAATGAGCCAAGCTTCTCCGTTGCACACGAGCTTTCCGTTGTCGTTGTCCAATTTCGCTGGCTTCGGGCAATTCTTTGGCTCGAAGCTGCTTGGAACCTGACATACAGTACGGTAAATATTGATATGAGGCTCAAAGAGTGGTGGGTGACCAGGTCTCGAAAATGATGGGTTGAATATGGTTGAATCAAGTCATACTGTAGTCCAGTTGCCCCAGGCACAGGCTTGTTCTTGGACCACACCCATTCTGCTGTGCAGGGTTAAACCCTAAGATCACTCTGCCTTGCAACTCTACCTAGCACTGACAGGGCGCTCGGTAATACCATCATCCTGCCTTCTATCACTTCCAATGCAAGGAGTATCGCCAACGTTCTAGAATCAATGCTTGCAATTCATCACTCGAATCTTCCAGAAAACTCCCATGCAAAGACTTGCTTGGTGCGGATAACTTCTATTTCAGGGGTTTCAACCGCTCCGCCCGGATAGTCGACCTGGGGCTGTCTAATAACCCCGATATCAATCAAATGGTGTTTCCACGCGTTATCGTTGTTTTTTCCTCTTATCGTTTTTCCAAGTGCTGGCTTCACACCCTCATGAAACAATTCATATTGTGTTTTCTTTGTGGGATATTACCTTACAACCACCAGCTTCACATCTGTTTTTCAGGGAAAAGCTTGCATCTGCAAAGCTTGCTGCTTCGAACATGTCCCATAAACAATATATAGTGTATATATGTATGAACATCGTTATCGTTGTTTTTTCCTCTTATCGTTTTCTCGAGTGAGAACTACATATAGCTAATGGGGGATCATGGCATACTAAACGAATAGGTGCCGGGTTATTATACTCTCCCACCTGGTTTCCAGAGGCTGAAGAACAATGGCTGCAGAAGAGTGTTTCCTCACCATTGCCTTGGCTTCACTCAATTGGCACCGTTCAAACATGCCAAATATATGGGACTTTTGAGGACGGAATGGCGATCGCAATCCGCAAGAAAAATGACGCTCAGATCATCATAAATTAGACTGTAGTCATACAAATTCTTGAAACATGTTGAAACTAAGACTAAGACCCCCTAAATCATACTAAGATATACTATGATATACTAAGGTCATCTGTCTATAATTAACATGAATTAAAATATAATATATTTAATAACCACCAGAAAATGTCATTGATGACCTCCAAGCCCCAGTCCTTCAGACCAAGGTCTCCAGCTGTCCCCAGTTCGACGGCTCGCGATATGCAGCACCAAATGGCAACTCGTAACATGGGTACCTTTCATTTTGCCACAAAGATGCACAAACCATCACAAACCCATTTATAATATTTTATAATATGTTACAATCGTTTATATAATTTCGACCCATCACCAATTCAAGTTCCGTTCGATGTTTCGCTCCAGGCTGCCCTTCATCTCGCAACCTTTGCAGGATTGTTGATATCCTCCGGGCGGGATGTTGTGAGCATTGGGCTTTGGCTCACATTGCAAGCGCCCTTGAATGTTGTTGATCTGCGGCAAGGGGCAGCTTTCTGGCCTGGCAAGTCGTTTGGAGCTGTTGTTTTCAGCTGAGGTCTACTCACAGGAGGAAGCTTCAATCGATTGGATGAAATGGTTGTCGTTCTGGATTGTACTATCAAAGAATTCGTTGGATAAATTGTGGTATCTATCATCTTTCAAACATCTTCCATTCTTTGAAGGTTTCTGCAACATCCCAACTTCATGGCAAGAAACTCTAAGGAAGAGTGAATGGAAGGCGAACCCGGTAGCCGGCAGTGGGTGCACGTCAGCGTCTTGCCAGACATGGAACATCCACGGCAGGAGTCCAGATAACCTCAGTCCATTCGTCACGTGCACGAAGCGGGATGTCCAGTACAACCAAAATCACAGGGATGGATGATGAATGATGAGCATGGATGGGGATAGTAAATGATTCGACATCATTCAATCTCCGAGGGATCTGATGGGGGCACGCAACCAACCTGGATAGAAGCCTCGGTGACAACCAGTGGGGATATGTCCAAAACTATGGAACTCTCCTGTATCCTCAGATCCCAGATTGTGTTCTAGATTTCTGTAAAAACAAGGTATGAAAATGCATGAAATGATATGAAATGGATCATTTCGGATATTCTGAGGCACTTCTCCATGTTTTCCACATCAAAGTCATCAACCTCCCCAAATTCATAGGTCCAAGCCACTACCAGGTGGTAATCCCTCCTGGTTTGGCCGAGGCTTCTCCTTACCAAAAATCGTGCGCCGTGGATGGTTCAGAAAACGATTGGAAATTCTGAACATGTTAATTACCCTCTGGTTATTTAACATAGCCATGGAAAATGGCCCATTTATAGATGATTTTCCCATTAAAAATGGTGATTTTCCATGGCTATGTTAAATAACCAGATGGTACTACATTATAGTAGAACGATTGGAGATTAGGATGACACGAAATAACATTTCAGGTGATGTAACAAAAATTTGGTTGTGAGTTGTGAGGATGAATTGACCCCCATGTGTGTTTCGGATGTTTCTAAGTGTCAGGAGTGTCTGTGGGCAGCCCAGCTTCCTTCCATTGCTCTTGTACTCGGGCAGCGTAAGCCTCCAATGCTCTGCTGGGTGCAAATCAAGAAAAGTTCCAATTATCCAAAATGTGATAATATCAATATGGATATCCTATATCCAATTATCCAATTATCCTATATTATAGTCTCAATAGATGGATATCTCAATTATCAAAAAAAAAGTTGCAATATAAAGTCGCAAATCAATGGAGAGTCTCTGCAACATGTCTTTGTCTCGGGCCATTCCTGCGCGATACCAGGATGCAGCCAGGAGACTTCGCGGTATTCCAAAGCTTCCTGGCCAAAGCTGGTGACCTTTCGGAACTTTGAAGCTGAAAAAACTCCCATTCTCAGACAACCCAAAGCAGTTATAGGGTGCTATAGGTGGTACTATAACACACTATAACACACTATAACCCATTGGACCCAAAAATACACTTTAAAGTATGGCGTATGGAATATCAGAGGATTCAAAATGTCGCCAACCGCAGAGATATCCAAGCCGTCCTCGCCGGTGCTGTTGGGATTAAACAACTCAAGAAGGCCGGGAGAGTAGCCACCAGGACAATACCTCATGGCTGTCCAACATCGCATGGGGAGAACAACATACTGTACCATTCTGAACCTCACCCTTGACCTTGGCTGGGGTGATGCTAGTGACACTGTCGATGCTGATGACGATGATGACGCTGACGACAAACACAAAGATCATGATGAAGTAATTATCATCATTACTCTTGTACACAGAACCCTTCCATCTGTACATTCACGGCTCTTTTCTCCACAGACCCATCATGACCCATCATCCTAATTCTAACATTCAAAAATCCACCTTTCACCCATCCATCCACCTATCATTCATCCATATATTCATCCCCCCATCAACAGACGTGCCAAAGGTACCAGCTGCCAGGCGCATCGCAGTTCCTTTGTCGCCAGCTGCGTGACTCCTCTGACACCTGCAGGACCTCTGCGATGCGCACGCGGCGGTGTCGACTCACGAAGACCTCGCGGAAGTGCCGGGGATCCAAGGCGCCGCGGCCGCACAAGCGGTAGATCCTGGGAGGCCATGGGAGGCCATGGAATGCCATAGGATGAGGTGATGGGATAGATATGGATAGATGGGATAGGAGAAAAAGAGGGAGATGAGGGGAGATGGATGGATATAGATTCTTTAGACAGATATGATTTATTGAGATATCTACGTAGACAATGAGATGCAGAGTTGTTTAATCCACGTATAGTTTATACACTGATGAGTTCTGCAGTGCAGTCTGGTGAGAATTCTCTTGTATTCTCTCTACTTTGATCCGTCACGAGTCTTGCCATCCGCTTGCAGAATCTGTTCACCACAGCCAAGCATCAGGGAGGCTTCCATCATCTTGCTGGGCTTGCCATCTGAAAACACTCCGTAGAGATCACAATCCTCTTCGTTGCAATGGCCCGGATACACCGAATTGGCGATCCGGGCCATGTGTTTGGACTTCCCCACATCATCTTTACCACCTCCACCAGCCCAGACCAAGACGTAGTCAGCCAGGTGCCGGGCGATCTTGTGGGCTTCAGAGGATGGAGAGGATAAACACAAACCCAGCAGGGCGATGTGCTCATGATTCCTGAGTTCTTCACTGGGCAAGGCACAAGAGCAATGGTGTTTTGGGCGAAGCTACCAAGTATATTTTGCTGGAAGATCTGGAAGAGCTTAAGGGGCTGATTGAGGCAATGCATAAGCATTTACCTTCAGTAAATTCCAAATGTGGCTACATGTAGCATCATGTATTATATATCTATGCATAATTATATTTATATTATATATATATACATATACATAATTATATATAATCATATTTAATCATCGTGAATTGCGGCACCAAAACACACACCCAAATACACCCAATTTATATGAGTAAGTGTGAGCTATTAAGTGAGCTCTTTATAGTATACTACTGTACTTTATTAAGCACTGCCCGGCTGAGGCTCCAGGTGTTGCCGTCCGCAATGGTGGTGCGATTGGCGATGCCCGCAATCTGATAGCCATAGTCCCACCAGGCCATCACGCGGGCATCTTCCGCGGTGTTGTCTTTGAGCCAAGTGTAGGCTTGCCTCGGTGTTTCCAAAACAGCTGGCAACATGGCAACATGGCAACATGGCAGACAGATACTTAAATAAGATATATATATATATATACAAATGATATACAAATGATATACAAATGATACTTAAAATAAATCAAGATAAGATAATGAATACCATTGGCTTGCATATCTTCCAAGCTGGCTATGGTTGGTTTTTGGTGCACCTTCCCTCTCCCTTTACCCCATCGCTGCCGAGCAGCCTGTAGTCATCGATCAGGGATCCGTCCTTCCCCTTGGTCACGATTTGGGGATGCGACAATGTCCGCCGGGCCTTTTGCTCGCAGAAGTCCAAAAACTCCACGATCTGCGGTATGAGTCCATAGCCTCTCGGGAACCGAAATTGCAACGCGTGGAATCATGATGATCTGGCAAAATCATACAGAATCATGTGGAAACTTGTTTGGATCTGACGGAACTGAGATTAGTCTAGAGACGCCTGAGGACTCATTCCTGCAGAAAGTAGGCTTCCCTGAGACTTGAGTAAGAACATGAGGCTATGATGAGACTTAATCCGAAGAAGGGAAAACTTACAGGAAACCATCACAGTCTTTCACAATCAGATAATATCAGATATATACCGGGTGTATCCATAACTTTTCTCTCATATTCACTTAAAATCCATTGATCACCCCAAGTTTCGGTCCACATCCCTGGCATCTGACATCCAAGCAGCACGCCAAGGCCGCCAGCAGGATCCGTAGCAGTCGCACTGGCGGCCGGTTGAGCGTGGCGCCGATCTCAGTGCCTGGAGATCGGTGATGGTTAGTTTTGGATGATTTTGGATGGTCCAGATATATATATATATAATACAATCACTATACAATCATCTTTGCCCCCTTTTTTTTGGGGGGGATGATCTTTTTAATAAGAGCAGCATTTGACAGCAGCATGGACGCATTTTGAGCTGAACAACACAGATGCAAGCGTCTTTGGGAAAGGATTGGTGGAATGGAATCCTTGGATAGAAACATGGCTGGATTTGGAGACCTGTTGAATGAAGTGTAAGAGTAAGGTGAAGGGATTCAGAATGTTGGGACACACCCAACAAAACAATGAACTTAAAACATCACACCGCGACAAATCCAACCCAAGTGTCCAACGTTGGCAATGGCAAAGTCGGCAAGGAAACTGGCAGCAGCACCTTCGTCGTGTGTGGGCTCGGCATACCCGGCATACTGGGTTGGTATCACAACCAACTGCAAAGACATTGGGCTTCTAGTCTTCCAGAGCAAGAATCAGAAAACGAAAACCCCAGGGTCCCAATGCCTGTCAGGGTCGATGCCGGCAGCGCCATGAAAATAATCAACCTGGGCTCACAGCACAGCAACGATTTTTTTTTGGGCGGGAGCAAGTGATGATAATAGCTTCTACTGTGGTTTACTTCATGTTATTTCTCCTGTGCATGGTTCTGAGTTCTGAGTCCCGTCAGCATCACAAAAGTTGGACCAGCCGGCCGGACAAATCCCAAGCACATGCCTTGCAAACCTGGGGAAACCTCAGCAACCTTCGATGCACTTCAGACCAGGAGACCTTCTCATCTTCTGCGCGAAGAAATAGGTCACCCAAAACAACGCCACAAGAAAAACGGCCCCATCACTTCGGCGCAGCAGCAGCGGCACCAAACCCATGGGCGAAGTGAGGCACAACTTGCCTGGAGGAAGACTATAGGACGTACCCCACAAGACCCTGAAAAGGGTGGTATGGAGCCGTGTTTCACCAAAGGCAAGAAAATGTCACCAATCAACAAGGAGCAATTCCAACTACCACTCAGGTCGATTTCGCCACGGTCCCAGATATCGCACAATAATTCGTTGAACGAATTTTTGATATCACTATACTATATATATATGAGCGATTGTGAAAACCCTAGGTTCACGGAAAGGACATCCACGAATTTGGGAAGGTCCCATCGCTTACCACACGTTTGTACAATAATGATATATGGTAAACTTGGGGGGTATCGCTTGCAGGAAACTGCTGCATTTATATATATATGTGATGAACTATGAATAATATGTGATATTTGGGTATCGCTAATGTGGATATTAGAGAAATATGATGACATAACCTTGAAAAGGGGTATCGCTTATTTGGGAAGGTCCCATCGCTTACCTTGTGTTTTAAACAATTTCCATCAATTTCCATAAACCAATGTCCGTCGAATACATATTTAGTATTGCCGGGGTTTTTACGGTTGCTCATATATATACTATTATATACTATAATACCCAAAAAAAAAAGGTGGGATTTCCACCCAATGGAAGCACTCTTTTTCCAAGTTGCCGAGGTAGTTCCAATAAGCATCGGCACTCCCTGGCTGATGTTCCGCCACTGAATCCACCAACGGATTGCCCGTCTTGGTGTGTTTCACGAAGAGGGCGGCCACGCGCGCTGAGAAGGGGCTGAAGATGCCTCGGAGCTGTTGATCCAACTGTTACAGTGGGGAAGTCATCACCATATCACCCAAGAAAACAAGATGCTGCCCATCACCCAAGAAAACAAGATGTTGCCCTTTGAAAACGTGAAAACGGTTGACCCCACATTCGAAACAGCCCCTGAATTCGTTGATCCCAGGTTGACAACATTGCCAACACATCGCTACTTGGAAGACATCTTTATTTTTGGCCTGGGTTCTGGGATAGGTCGCTTCACTTCTCCGGGCTTCATAGCTCCATAGATCATTGACTTTTGACAGTCATTGTACCATCCATGGCTTCTAAGAGTGGGATGAGTGGGATGTCCTTCTTTTGATGGCTGCCATTGTACCCTGATAAACACAGAGAAAACCTCAAATACGTAGCTGGTACAATTATTATAGATGTTCTATGATTCTATGGATGTTCTATGGATGTTCTATGGCTGTTTATGCCCCGGTCCCAATGGCCCTGGTTGATCTTGACCCATCCCCAGGTCCCCAGGTCCCCAGGTCATATCACACCATGCCTGAGGGGATCAGCAGTCCAACCAGCACCACTCCGACGGCGCCAAGGGCCACCAATGGCAACTGCTTGAGATGTTTCGGCAGCAACTTGTAAACCTGGAAGGCTTGGAAGGCGATTTTAATGGAATCCGCTGAATACCTGTGTAGCCTACGTAGTGACGTAGTGTAGCTGCAATAGGCTTCCGTGGATTCCGTGGAAAGTATCTTTTCCCTGGCAATAATATATGGGGGTTGTCAATGTTTGTCCAAAAATGGGGAAGCCTGCAATTTCAATGGGAAAATGACGGAACATGATTAACATGATGATCAACCATTGGACTTTGGGGTACCCATGGGCTCATGGGTACACTATTCTCACATCTCACATTAAACCCATCTCAAGCTCTCCACGGCAACCCAGCCTGAACCAACTGCAGCACTCCGAAGAGGGCCAGGGGTGCCAGTTGCTCCATTGATCTCAGAGGTGTCCATGAAACCACAGGCACCTCTCGAGTTGCCAAGCTGGGGTGAAAGTTGGATCCATTTCAGCGGCTAGAGCGCTTAGGGGCCCCGGGGCCACCCATTGTGCTCCAGGAACTCGTTCATCATGTTTCATCAAAGGACATGGGAAAGGGAAGAAAAGCACAAGGCACACTCCTTCACTTATCAGTGTCAGTTGAGTTCAAGTGCTTTCCCTCCTGCAACGTAACTCAGAGATGTAAAATCCCTCATGTCTCATGTCATCCCATTTTTAGACAGTATTCCCACATCCATGAGGAATAGGCATGTTCCATTGCCATGTTTCCTTCTCAAGCCTACTATTTTATGATCCCTCCACGACTCCGGCACCTGCATGGCACCCACCGTTCCAACCACGAAGAAAAGGCTGTAAGCCTTGCCGCAGGTCTAACGAAACAACGCGTGAAAGCTACACCACCTATCCTGAGCACACCAGGCCACCAGGCTCACCAGATTCACCAGTAGGCGTGTGTCCAAACTGAGCAGCCCACTGCATAGAGATTGCCAGCAGATCCAAACAGTGTGAGGATTCCGGCATGCAATCCGATCATATTCCTCAGTGATCACAAAAATCACATGGCCCAGCTACGCCCATAGTCCATGGCCAAGGTACAAGGCAAAGATGTATCCTCCCCAGGAAGCCGCCATGTAGCTGTAGGCCAACCTTGCAAATTGGCAAATGGTATTGGAATCTAAGCGGTCTCAAGATCTGAGACCCTACATCCCAAAAAATGCTGTGGAGCTCATGCTCATTTTTGAAGATTTATAACTCTTCAGATTCTTCACCTTGTCTTCACATTTTATACATCTATTGTCAATAGTCTATTGTCTTTTATACACTATATTTCATCTAGTTGTGACGTGCCTCAAGTGCTTCACAACCAACATCCAAGGTGCCCAGCCAGTGCCGCAATGGGCCAACTGCTCTCATTGCGCAGGGCACGGCACCAGAAGAAAAAGCTGCAGCACATGGCAGAAATGGCCACCGATTCATTGTCGAAGCCTCACCCGGCAACCCTGAGATCATGAGTCGAGATGGGACAGCAAATCTTGCTGTGAAAACAGGACAAAATCAGATGGTTTTTTAATGGATCTGTTTGATTGCCATTGATTGCCGGGCCTCAGGGGCGATAAAAATATCCGGCTGTCAGTGAAACATAGTAAAACTTAAAGCACACTAAATGCCTAGAAAATGCCATGAAAATGCGAGTTAACGCAACTCTGCGTCGTCTTCCAAAAAATCTGCATTGAATCCATGCAACAGGTTCCTACTAAAATCACACTGTACATTGGTGAATGACTTGAGGCAAGCCCCATTTATGGACATGCGCAGTCACCACCCCATTTCAGCAAAGATCTTCACCAAACATTAAATGATCATAGATGATCATAGATGATCATAGATGATCATAGATGATCATAGTATTTCTTGATATTTCTTGCATGCTTTTGCCATCTCAACTTTCCAACAGTGCAATGCCAGTGCCACCAGTGCCTCCTCGCCTCCTCCCACTGACCTCGACAAATGCGCCGGCACCACGGCCATGGCTCGGGCCGCCACGCCACCAGCCACTGCGCTGCTGAAGTCCAGCCGTTCACCACGGACAGATTCCGAGGCCAGCAGACCTCGTTCGGGGGTTGGGATCCCATGGGATCCCCAGAACATTCGACCGAAACTGGACCATTCTCTGAAAAGCATATCGAAATATCGAAGTAGGTTGTCCGTATTTTTCATTTTGGCAGTCCATGCTGCGAGTTTTCCTGGGTTTTTATCAAGTTCATGATCCATCAGTGCGGTGATGCGGTCTATCCGGCCTGCGAAGACGGAAGAAACAGCTCCAAACCTCAACTGAGACAGTCAGACTGTCAGTGGAAAGTGCCTTTCATTTGCAACGGGCTCAAAAGCACCTCCCCAAAGCACCAATACCCCCATAAATCCCCATAATGGATCAGGTTACCAGCTTGGACCTCCCAAACAAAAACACCTTGAAGGGTCCAGTGCTACTCCATTGTTTCCCCAAACGCCAAGGTGTGGATCATTTAATCGCCAAGGAACCATGCTGGCATGTAGCAACAGACGTGGTTCAAATCCCAGGAGCTATCGACTTCTTGCAGGAGGCGCCAGAGAAAAACTGCAGTGATCTGCATCCCCGGATAGATTGTCCTGATGAATCCGGCCATGAAATGCAGAAAAAACTGGCATCAGAAAGTTCATACACAACTGATACCCTCTGGCAATTTAACATAACTATGGAAAATCATCATTTTTAATGGGAAAATCAGGAAAATCCACTATAAATGGTCATTTTCAATAGCTATGTTAAATTACCAGAGGGTATATACTGATATCATCATATATCTGCGTGAAATATCACAAAGATCAGGATGTTCCATGCATTTCTCAGGCCTTCAGTATCCTCAGTCCAAGGCTCGTAGCTACGGGCCGCCCCAGGGGATACCAGGACTGATGGTCAAACCACGTGAAAAACCTGGGGCCGGGCCCAAGTTCCGAGGAAGGTTATATCGTGACCACCAATCCACAGAGGATCATTGGATCATATATATATTACTGCTACAGTACTGCTTATGAACCTGTTGATAAAAGGCACTGCAATAAAATCAATATATAAACAAAGTCCCAAAGTTCATGGCAATTGGTGGCAATGCATCTGCTCCTTGGTGTCGTTTTCATCTTATGTGAGTGATTCCAATGTTCAAACCCAGGCCCAAGGCCACAGCCCGTTTGGCTTTGACAAAACCTGGTGCCATGCATGGTGAACATCCCACATGTAAAAAGAAATAGGTTGTTTTGATCCAACATGGCTGGGGTGCTGATGAATGTGCAACAAGTGAAGAAAAACACATCAGGACGATCCCTTTAATTGACATTTGCAAACCCAGTTTTGGGATAGAAATGATTAGAAATGGATAGAATCAACCCACTCCAAACAGCCAAGCCGCTTCTTCCAGCCATGCTCTGCCAAATACTCAGTTGCCCGGTAGTTGAACCACCTTGGCTATGCAACAACCAACCAACCACAGCAGATGGCTGTAGGCCACCAAGTTGCGGGTCGAATTCGTGAATAATGGCACCATAATCCTGAGGCAACATGAGGCAACGGTTTGTCCCATCGAAGTAGATGCGAACCAAATCACCAAATCACCAAATGACTCCGATGACTCAACAAATTTGACACTTAAGAACATGTTGAAGCGTTCACCAATGTTTACATATTCCATCAAATTCACAACATGATTTCACCTTGTTTCAATCTGGATCTTTGTGGCCTATCCTGCCACGTCCCCAGGCACCTTAATGGCCCAGAGCCGGATCTCGTAGGCGCGCAAGGCCGCCTGCGAATGTCAGGGCATGAATGATTTAATGGATGGAATATGGGACAATAAATATCAATAAATGGGTTGATGGATGAGATTGATGATTTAAATTTAATTAACCATCCGAAATAAACGGATGTTTTGTGGCATGCAACTAATGGTTGCTATAGACGCCTTCTAGTGGTTGCGAGAAGAGATGAATTGGTTCACAGAAGAGGTTGGGTCAGAGTTCAGAATTTGCTCAGAAAGTAGAGGTCTATCATATTTGGGATTCTTTTGAACCACTTGCAACGACTGTGTCATTTTTGTGGAAGTCGTCCATCCTCCCAATGTCTGAACGTTGCAAATGAGTATGGGTCATGCATACCCAAATCCAGAGGGTTTGGGGTACGATTCCACTGGTGTAGCTTCGACAGCTGCGCCTCCAGCAAGAGACCCAGCAATAGCGACCACCAAAGCACTTGTAGCGTCTCAGGTGCCGAATTCCAGTACAAACTGATACAAGTAGAAATATGTGGATTTGCCTGCAAATTTAGGAGAGAATGTTTCAATCCATTGGTTTATCATGCATGGTTTATCATCACGTTCCCCATCAAATAACCATCTTTGGGGTATCCACTATTTTCATCTATTTTCCACAATTTGCAGATATGATATAAACATTTAGAAATTGATTGTCACACCGTCATGCGCTGTTCCTTAAAGACGTGATGGTGGCAACCAAATGAGGATCCCACAGAAGCGATGCACACCATTTCGCGCATTTGCAAGCAACGAACACATCATTGCGTCGCAAGCACGGAAACGAAAATAGATACGCCTAGATAGTTTGCTTAAAAAAAACGAAATCCAAACTCTCTGAAGGGTCTGAGAAAAACGGGAAATTCGGGCACGCGCAGTGAATCGAAATGTTTATTTTGGTATATTTTGGTCATGCACATGTTCATTTAGAATACTTTGCCACAATACTTGCTGCTGTGGAATGACACGAGTCCAGCACCAGAACATCACAAGTTCCCTAAATGATGTGTTGACCCTCTGACTTTGTGACACGAAGCTGCATCAACACCGAATCAACACTGCTGCCAGGAGTGGAAGCCTTGAAAATAACACAGTTTATCACAGAATCTCAAAATCCACCGACCCCAGCATGACTGATGCCGGAAAAACGTGCGTCATGCTAAGGAATGCACATTGAAAGGTTGCTGAGGGTTTTTCCAAGACTGAGGAAGGAGCGAAAGCTACTAAGGGCTTAGGCCTTAGCACCTGCTTGACACACATGTGAGATCATGTGAGTACCAGGGGCGGAGGGGTATGATATCTATGACAATCAGAACATGATGAACATGTCAGCCGTCAGCTGGAAAGGAAATTGGGACCCTTGAGTCCCTTGAGAGTATCTAGCTGACCAGCTGACCCTTCAATGCATCTTGGGGCCGTAGCAAAGGTTCAGGATGTCCTGGATCATGTCGCTATGAGCCGGGCAGGAGCAGGCAATACAAACACTCACTTAAATGCTTAAAGGATTCAAAAAACATAAACAAATCATGTCCTAAATGCCAACGCAGTACCTAGCTTTTCGCAACACCTGCTGTTACACCAGCCAGATCTCCCACAAACCAGATGTCATAAACCAACTAGCAAACCATCACCAACCAGCTTTTTTGCCCAAATTGTTCTTCCACCAATTTTGTATATGTAGTTTCACACCAACGAGCTTTTGTTTTATATAAATACCAAATTAATCCAAATTACTAGAACCAACTCAAGTGCTTTGAATTGGGACCTGAACTTTCAAACCTACTTCGCCCACCTGCTAGGGCCGGCGGTATTGCCGAAGGCAATGTGCTGCACTTTGGTTCCAGAAATTCTTGCAAATTCGCTCAACTTTTGGCCATTTGTATCCAACTTGGGGGTTCCAATGGAGCCCATCCGTTTCACCCAGATCCATTGAATCCATATCTGCAGCCACTCTTCGCAACACTCTGGACTTTTCATCCTCGAAGCTGACCAGGAAACCCTCATCAGACTGGTCAGCGCTAAATCGAGCTTCGTCGGGCACACCGACGCTGTCGATCCCAGCAATAGCTCAGGGGCTTGGAGGGTCTAGCTGCCCAATGGTCAAAGTGCCAAATTGAAATAGGTTGACAGAGCCAAGGATCCAGGAATTCCATGGAAAGCCATGTTCAAACAGCTGATTTCATCAATAAACTCCAACTGCAGAGATAACCAATCTCCAAATCTAAGAGTGGCCTGGATCCTGCCACAGCAGCTACCCACCATCCTCAGTCGATTCTGTGCCCACCAGGCGTTTTTGGCTCCACTCCACAAACCTTGGTCGCTGGGAAATCACCAGCAATTTTGCCTGCGGATGCCTGCGGGGGATCTGAGGAAAACCAAGATCCCAACTCATCTGCCTGCATTAAGGTGGTCGTGGCGATTCCCATACCGCACTGCCTTGGGAAGGAACGAACAAGTGGAACTGCCGTATGTAAAAATGCCTAATGCACACGAAAGCTGAACGCCATCAACCCCCTCACTGTCCGACTGTCATAGAAATGACTTCAGAAAGAACATTTGCAATCATTTGGATGGCAAAAAAAAATGGTTTGCTGATTTTGCTGTTCATGATGATGCTTTCTCCTAGTGAATCCGCATCTTTAGTGCTGGAATCATGTTTTCTCCTCCTGTGAAATCAACCGATCAACCTTCTTCTGAGCATCCGAACCGTGCGATCTGAACGGCCAAGCAATGCTTGCAACAAAGCTCCCCTGCCTGGCGCTGTGAACATGGGCCTATGGCTAGGCCCCTATGGCAGCTCTAGATTTGGGTAGGTTGATAGGTTGAGAGCTTGCACAGTGATGCGATTGGTTGGGAAATTTCTCCTGGATCCCAAGAGTTTCTAAGTGGGGATGTGCCAAGATGGAGCAGAAAACGGTTGGGCCCAAAGAACTTGCAGTCTTGCGATATTTTTAGCCAAACAGAACTGGGATTCATAGGGATTCAGTTTTTTTTTAATGACCAAATGGATGAGAATGATGTGTCCCTGGGCCCAAGATGTTTATCCATACTGTAGATGGCTCTTCGTCCCATCTCCCTTGGCCATTTCAACTCCCTTGAATACAGGTCATGGGGCCAACGGGGATCATCTTCCCTGGAGGGATGTGCTGGCGGAAACCTAACATCCAAAGCTGCCAAGTTGAAGCCTCCAGCACACGGCGGGCAAAGTAAGGGCCTGGGCCCAAGGTCACCAAATGGAACAAAATCTTATTGGCTGATTCTGGTTGGGATGCCAATGTTATTTTGCAGCATTCTGACACCAAAAATCGCGATCTCCAAACATGTCAGCACCAAATTTGGCACAGATCTCGAGTACCAAAGCAGAGCCGATCGCCCGGTCGTTTTTCTTCATGAAATCCCAAAGCTCCACTTGGTGCTTTTCTTTGAAAGACCAAGATTTGTCCTTGGCAGCAACAAAACCCATGAGTTGCCGAGCCTGGGTCTCAAAGATTATTGAATGCAGGAATGTCAAATGCAAATTGTTAACTTCTGCAAACAGCAACTTGTGGGAAGGACCTTTTAAATGGCCCCGGAGAACTTGCCATAGACAGCTGTCATACTTCAAGGAATTTGAATGGTGTGACTGTGAAAATGGTGAAAATTCTATATTCACTTCTGCACAGTTTTTCTGTTTCTTGCCCAAATTCGGAGGTCATTGAGAAACCATGAGAAACCATTTACGCTCATTAGCTATTCATTGTCATGCTTCACACTTGGGGATCGCAAACTACTGGGTACCCCCTGGAAATGCAAATGCAACCTGGCAACGGAAAATCCCGCCATTTGTGTAGAGAAAGTTGATGAACCTTCATGGATATAGATATATATATATATAGATGGACATTGCAAAAATCGGGATAGCCATGGCCACTATTTCCCGGAGGGTTATGCTGCCTGGCGTCTCTACGAGTTTGTCGGTGCTTATTCCTGTCCGTCTCTTCCACCGGGCGACGCTGCACCTGGTTGAGCTTCAAAGTTCCTAAGCGCTTCCCCGAGTCAAGGATCGAATTTTCTGGTGGGAACCAGTGGTTGAGGGTCACCAATCTTGTTTTGGAACTGATAGCAGTTCGAAGTTTGGAAGATTTGGAATGTTGACCACCCTTCAAGAAAAACAAGGAGGCGTTCAAGCTGTCCACCAGTTAATGGCGCACCCATCCTTTTCTGTATTGCATGCTGATTGTATCCCAATTTTGGTTGGTGACTTCCATGCTTTCCTCTTCAAATGTCACTTCTTAGTGGTGACTTCCCTTTTATTTGCCCAAAAACACACTTTTGGTGGCAGACCCAGTCAGATCAGTCAGTCACCAATGCCGCTGCGGATCGTAAGCCATCTTCCATGGGCGAACGCTCCGCAAGACCACGACACTGCGCATAGTTCGAGAAGAGAACCAACAAATGGCCATCTGGTTGCAGAACCTGGAAACTGCATCAAATTGTGCGCGGCTGTATGATTGAAAATAGCCAAGTCGTGCCAAATCCACAATGGATGTGAGATGACAAAAAAACGACAAAAGTCTAGAAGTCTTGAGTCACAATACATGATGAGGACCATCTGAAAAATCTAGATGTTCAAAAATGATTGTCTCATATTGTCTCCCCTGAATGGATGGTTTATGATATATTTGATATTCCAAAAATCCATCAAAATCCAACAAAAATCCATGCTTGGCACCTCCGACACCTCTGCGAAGAGCCGCGGGAACAGCTCCGGCGGATAGTCGTTGCCGAAGACCACGTCGGCCTCCGTTCCGGCCGTCGTCGCTGCGCTGCGCTCCGGTGGCTCCGGAACCCAGGGCGGGTTGAAGATGATGAGGTCAAAGGGTGCCTGACGTCCGGATTCAAATGATTTGTTAAATGATGTGTTAAATGAGTGTTAAATATGTTATATAGTATGTTATATATAATGTTAAATGGATTCAAATGGATTCAGATGGACTCAGGCTATTTAACGGGCTTTCAATCGGTGCATAAAAAACTCAAGGTTCAACCAATTTCAACCACACATGGGCAGTCAAAATGGTGCTTCGATGGACTAGAAATTTGGACAAACAATTTCCATGGAACTTATGGAACATTATGGAACCATGTTGAAACCCTGCAGATCTAAGTTTGCTATATAGATCTCATTAACCATCCCCATTGCTAGGTTTATTATAGTAAATGTCTTATATGGTACATTATGGTACTATATTATACAATTTTATGGCTTCACCATAAGTCATCATCAATGATCAACCATTTAAGCCTGTTCCTCAATTTTTATCAACATAAACATACCATTTCCCCAACCATTTAACCGTCATAGCTTTACCCATGGAAAAAACCATCCCACCTCCTCCGTCAGCTCCTCAAAGAGGTCGCTACGCTTCACCCGGATCCGCGGGATCATCGCCCGCTGCAGCTCGGCGGTGACGGAGAAGACGGCGTTGGGACAGCGGTCCGAGGCCAGGATCTCCGCTTCGGGACAGAGCTGCTGCACCAGGAAGCTGATGACCTGGAAAAATGGAGGGGAAGTCACCATTGATATCCAATTCATCAATATTCATCATATTATGTACATAATTAATCCTAATTTAATATCATAAACAATTTCATAAACATTCATAAACAATATCCAGTTACCATCATTTACCTGGCTGGGGAGATAGGGAAAGAAACAGGCAGAAGGGACAGCAATGGCCTTTGCGTCTCTGGAATCCACAGCTCTATGCCACCGAGGAGCTCCAGAACCAGTGCCGAGGTCGAGAACGCGACCGTCGCGACCTCACACTTTTCGCTGGGAGGAACTGCAAATGTCTGGAAAGTCCGTAGACGAACTTCGTGAGCATCCTGTTTCCAAGGAAAATTCATGAAAATGTGCTGCTCACCAAGTAAAAGGCTAACAAACATTTGGCTGAGAAAACGTGTGCAGTACTATTTAATTACCAGAGCCCAGCTGGTTTGGGGATGAACTCACGGATCACGAAAAGCGCTTGGATTGCGTCCAGTCGCCATACTCCCATCCGCAAATCACAGTACTGTATTATGGTGCTTTGACGAAGCGGCTCGGGGAGCTAGGTTTCCAGGTCTTCAGCCAATCTCTCAGAAGCTGGAAATGTTCCTTGGTTCCACTGAGGTTTGGTTAAGTCTGTTCCCCCTGGTGTAAAAGGTGCACTCAAATTGACACACATTGATACATCATCATTTCCGGACCGGACTCATGCAAAAGGAGCAGGGTGCAACACACCTTTTAGCGACATGTTGCGACCATAAGACCCATGGGTAAACAGCAGTGACCAACAGTTCTTTCAAGCATGACTGGTGAGTGGGACGTAGTGGTGAGTGTAGCACCAAGGCTTACCTACTGCTAAATCAACGGGCAAAGTTAGCCACAGGCAAAGTAACATCTATATCAATATCTGCGTCCCTTCAAATCATTTTTAATTGAACCCAGAATGAACGTCATCGCCTGTCAGCAAAGATTCGGTTGGCGACAAGGTAAAATAGACGCCGAAGAATGGGTGCAGTTTGTGAGACAGGAAACCTCAGTTGCAGCAGCCTGCATACAGGCTGTTCATTTTGAGGTGCCGTCAGTGGTGAGAGGATCACACCGACATACTACTGTTCTTTCCTTTTCCTCAAGGTGAGGTCCAAAACATGAGTTGTCATGTAGTCATGTAGTCATGTAGTCATGTAGTCATGTTATGATCCATGTCATATTAAGTTCACCGTCCAAGTTCTGTCTTTGGATCTTCCAAGCCGATTGCCCCTCTCGCTGAGCAGCTATAGTTGAGCCCATTCAGGAAGAACTGCCACGCCACGTTGAGCGCAGTGACATCGTTGGCGCGGAACACCAATGGCCCGGTGCTTTTTTTGCCGTACATCACTGGCACGTATCCCAGCGCAGGTCCGCCCTCCAAACATAACCTGATGGGTTGCTGGTGAAGATGAGGGTCGGCTTTTGGTGGTGCATCGGTGCATCATCCCATTTCAGGCTATCTAACAACTGTTGATTCCCAGTCCTTTTTGATATCTCCATGCATTGCAATTGGTATTCCCATGACGTTCCCAATGAATGCAAATGATTGAATATTGACATCATCAAGGGAATATAATAAAGCATCAGGGGATGATCTCCTGTGATATCGCCAGAATCTTCCCAAATATAGTAGATGTCATAGTTTCGTAATATTCCCATGATCTTCTTCCTATCATAATCTGTCCAAAGGAAAAAATCATTGTGGAACCAAAAAAATATTCCCATAATCTGATAATCTCCAAGTGGAAATTCTACAATTCTACAAGTATTCTATTCCCTCCATTGTCCCCCTTTGAAAATCCCAAGAGACTCCCCGCTTCTTTGCACCCGCACGAAGAGCCGCCGCGCTGCATCGCGGAGAAGCCGCCTGCGTTAGGTCAAAATACCACTGGGAGTCTCACACGGGATGAAGAAATTGGCGAGTTTTCGTCAACAAAAACCAGCAGAAATGGGGACTGAACCAACAAAGTTCAACGTGATTCAAACCTGGGGAATTGACCATGAAACATTGTCTCATAATCCAACAATATTGGGGATTTGAATGGGGTTTCAACCAACAAAAATGGTGATGCCAACATGGTGTTTCAACCTTAACGTACCTTAACAGCAAGTAGGCTTTATTAACTTTAACTCACCAACAAAAATGGAATGCAACTGGGGGCCGTCGGGCCGTTTTTTGGGGCCACTGGTGTTTCACCTCCTCTCTCGTAGCGTCGCTGCTTCGTCAGTGGAGACGAAGCTAACTCGCTTGGCGATCATGTTCCTCGACATCGGCCAGGTGGCTCTAAGACATGACCACTTGACATATGGTTATGGATCAATACCTATGAAAATACCATTTTTAGTGGAATGAACACCCATAAATCCCAGCTATTTTGATGTGAACTACAGGGGTACAAGGTTTTGACACACTGCCATATGATTGGGATCTTGCATGCGGATGTTGATCAAGATGTAAGTTATCCATAGTTATCCAGAGTTGTGGTTGGCCACTCCTATGCCAACATGAATTGAACATAAGATATGCAACGAACCAGCAATTTGAAGATTTGGGAAATTGATGGAAATTGGGGGTACTGAAGCATCCAGCAGGTTTGAGAGGAAAATCTGCACATATCAATGCCATAGAATACCCCGGAGGTGCTAGTAACATTGGTTGATTTGTGGTGCTTTATCACGCTAGTCATAATGATGATCATGATGATAGTATGATTTTGAGGGAGTGTAAAGTAACAGATCACCGGGCGGGGTTGGACCATCTGGGGGTCTGACTTTGTGACAAAACCATACAAAACCATTAGTGAACCGATTTATCAACCAACAAACTTACCGACCACAGCAACTTACTGATTGAGCAAACAAGGTGTGCGGGTTCAACTACACCAATTTCACTTCGATGCTGGACGAGATTCAAAGCTTTGCGCACCGTCAACAAGTCGCTCCATCTCTCTGTAAAGAGTGCCCGACCTCCTTGCCAAACCTGGCAGATCAATGTGTCATGGCCTAAAATGACGATGGGTCAACAGTGGATACCCCAAGAGTTGGATGGTTTTAAATCTAAAATCAGATACTTCAGTTCGAATGTTAGATTTCGCATTCCCGCTCCAGCTCAAAGGTACGTGTCTCCCTCAAAAAAAATGCTTTTCCCTAGATCTAGTATATTACATGGTTGGGATTGCATAGGTGTATATATATATATGATGAAGCTCAAAGCTACCTTGCTGGCTCACTGCCTCCTTGCTAGCTCAAAGCTCAAAGCTACCTTGCTGGCTCAGTGCCACGTAGCTGGCTCAGTGCCACGTAGCTGGCTCAATGCCACGTAGCTGGCTCAGCGCCTCGTAGCTGGCTCAGCGCCACGTAGCTGGCTCAATTTTTTTAGCGAAAAAAAAAAGAAAAAAAAACTCGCAGAAATTGAGCCGGCTACATGCCCTTGAGCCGGCTCGCCAATGCGTCATGAACCCGGCCAATACATAGCTAGTATTCGTTTTGATGCTCTCACATTCGTCCGCCAGCTCAACGTGACGTAGCTGGCTCAATTTCTGCGAGGTTTTTTTTTTTTCTTTTGTTTTTTTTCGCTGAAAAAATTGAGCCAGCTCGATGCCATTGAGCTAGCTCGATGCCCCTGAGCCAGCTACGTGGCATTGAGCGAGCTCGATGGTGCTGAGCCAGCTCGTTGCAGTTGAGCGAGCTCGCAGAAACTTCCCAATCTGTTAAATTGCATTAAATTGCCAGGTTCAATCCCCACTGATTACTTTAGTACTAGATATGGTACCTCTGAAAAAGCCCAAGGTGACTGTCAAAACATACCCCTGATGAAATTGAGCCAGCTACATGTTTTGAGCTAGATCGAAAAAATGGAAGATTGGGAATTCCAACATTCAATCAGTATGACATAGTATGACCATCGTGAGACCATGATACGTCCACTCTGACCCAAAATGCCCCAAATCCCCGGGTCTCTGCTTCCATTTTGACCCTGCGAACACCGCACTCTTCGTGGCATACTCAACAGTCAGAGGTGGACTGTCAGTAATAGCATTCCGACCAAAATCAAGTTAGCCCAAACAAATAACCAGACCAGCTGCCAAGCCTCAGCTGCCACATCTTTCAGGCTACTTTGGCCATTCACTTCAGTGGCTTGCAGCACTTCTTCCTCTGCCACGGGTGTTGGTTTCCACACGCTGTCGCTCAGTGGCGGCAGCAGCGGCACCGGGGCAGCGCTCGGGGGTGCTTTGGGCTTCAGCTTGCGCCCAAGTCGCGGTGCCCGTCGCGGCGCCCGTCGCGGCCGGGGGCGCGGCGCGGTGGGGGCTCCACCCGGGCTGGCGCGGTGCGCTATGATACCTTGGCCAAATTCTGCCAGTGACAACTATACAACCTTCGAAGTACCATTACCACATCAGCATTCCCAGATTTCGGAGTCATTCGAAGTCTGCGAGGTGGCAAATAACTGGAAATGATGTTATGTCTCTTCCGCTTGGTGACTTCTGACTTGCATGTTGGGAGTCCATTTGGGTGTGGATCAAAACTCGCCAACCACCTCTTTGGATATGTTTCGGATGTTTTAACAAAAAACTATATGATATCATTGTAAATATCCTATAAATATCATATATAGATTATGTATACACACTATAAATCAATAATAATCTAATATAATCGAAATAAATCGAAATAAACCTGCATCAATCTCCAGTCATTCACTGATCTTCAGCATCCTCCAGGTCTTTCCCCTTGATCCCCAGCCAAGCAGCTGGCCCCCAAAACGCCCCATGGCACACGGCTGCAGAGCTTGGCTGGCGCCCGCTTGGTGAGGCCACGGCCTGAGCATCCAAGGTCTACAGATTTACAAATAAATTAATAACTTTCAATGATGATATATATATACAGGGCACCCGCAGCTTGGGTAAGACATTTCGCGCTGACGCTGACGACGCATTGTGACGACACATTGGCGATGCCCCCGGCCCCCCTGACGACGCATTCTGACGACACATTCCCTGACGACACATTGCCCCCTGACGACGCATTACCCCCTGACGACGCATTGTGACGACACATTCCCTGACGACGCATTGCCCCCTGACGACGCATTAACCCCTGACGACGCATTGTGACGACACATTCCCTGACGACGCATTGCCCCCTGACGACGCATTACCCCCTGACGACGCATTCTGACGACACATTCCCTGACGACGCATTGCCCCCTGACGACGCGTTGTGACGACACATTCCCTGACGACGCATTACTCCCTGACGACGCATTACCCCTGACGACGCATTGTGACGACGCATTCCCTGACGACGCATTGCCCCCTGACGACGCATTACCCCCTGACGACGCATTGTGACGACGCATTCCCTGACGACGCATTGCCCCCTGACGACGCATTACCCCCTGACGACGCATTGTGACGACACATTCCCTGACGACACATTACCCCCTGACGACGCATTCTGACGACACATTCCCTGACGACGCATTGCCCCCTGACGACGCATTACCCCCTGACGGCGCATTGTGACAAAAAAATACCCTGACGACGCATTCCCCCCTGACGACGCATTGTGACGACACATTCCCTGACGACGCATTGCCCCCTGACGTCGCATTGTGACGACACATTCCCTGCATTGACGACACATTCCCTGACGACGCATTCCCCCCTGACGACGCATTGTGACGACACATTCCCTGACGACGCATTGCCCCCTGACGTCGCATTGTGACGACACATTCCCTGACGACGCATTGCCCCCTGACAACGCATTACCCCCTGACGACGCATTGTGTGTATATTATTGCCTGACGACACATTGCCTGTTGACAGGCTAGGCATGACGAGCAAGGGCGCAGGCGTACTGTATTCTTTGTATGTGGGAAGATAAATAGAGGAATGTAGAGAGGAAGAGGAGCCGGAGGGCAGATAGGGATTTGGCCTGACCACCAAGGCTAGGTTATGTCGAAATATAAAGCGTAGAGGTAATTATTCAAGATCGTGTGGCGCGCTTTTGCAACCTCAGTTGAAGATCCTTGAGGCAAGGATCAATCATTAAGTTGAAGTAGTAGAACCTTCTTATCTTCTTACCAAACCCAAACGAAGAGAGCGCCGGAGTGTTCCAGGAGAAAGCTCAGGAAGTTCAATGAAAAGTATTGAGCGTGTAGCATTGAGAACATGCGGGAGTTGAGCGCGTAACATCAAGAGCCTGCTGGAAGTTCCAAGGCTAAAAGATGCTAAAAGCATAGCACAGGAGGCTAGCATCAAGAGAACGCTGGCAGTTCCAAGAGGAAGTCAAGAGCGTAGCACCAAGAGCCTGTTGGAAGTTCCAAGAGAAACCTAAGCGAGCAATACCAAGAGAGCGTGTTGAAGGACCAAGAAAAACCTAAGAGTCTAGCATCCAGAACGTGTTGGAGGTCAGAGCGTAGCACCAAGCGAAGAACAAAAGAGCGTAGCAACTAGAGCGTCCTGGCGTGTTCCAGAACAAAGCTAAGAGCGTAGCAGGAAGAGCGTGACTTTCTCCAGACCGCAGCGTCAAGAGGCGGAGCGTAGCACCAACAAGAGCGCGTTGGAAGTTCCAAGAAAAATTATAAGAGCGTATCATCACGATTGTGGTGGACCGTAGCGTCAACAGCATCTTGGATTGTTCCAAGACGAGGTTCAGCGCGTAGCATCAAGAGAGTGTCAGAGCCGGAGCCAAAAACGTAGCATCAAGAGCGTGTTTTAACTCAATGCGTCACAAAAAGAAGAAAAAATAGCGCGCCATGCTTCATGAGAAGCCAAGGGCGTAGCGTCAAGAGCGTGCTGGCACGTCCCAGGACAAGGCAAAGAGAAAGTGTTGGAAGATAAAACACACCAAGAGCGTGTTGGAAGTTCCAATAGACAGCTAAGAGCGTAGCATCAAGAGCTTGCCGGACTGGCCCAGGAGAAAGCTAAGAGATGCTCAGAGCGTAGCAGCAAAAGCGTGTCGGAAAACCCAAGATTAAGCCAAGAGCGTAGCACCAAGAGCTTGTTCGAACTTCCAAGAGAAAATTAGCATAGCATTCAAGAGGCGACTGTCTCCAGAGCGTAGCGTCAAGGGCGTGCTGAAGCGCCTCAGGTGAAGGCCAAGAGCGTAGCATCAAAAGAATTTTCAAAATCTCAAAGAGCAAGCCCAGAGGCTATAGCATCCAGAGCATTTCGTTTGTTACTCTTCCCTTTCGTTTTGTCTTCCCTTCTGTTCCCTACGTCGCTCCTTTCGTTTTAACTTCTGCTCCGTTCGTTACTTCCTCCCCATTGTTTCATCTTATTCGTCCACCTCTTTCTCTCATTTAAAGGCGTTCATTTCGCGAAGTCCGTCGTTTCGCTCAAATCTTCTGTCCTGTTCTTCCTGCTCTTCCTTTCCTGTCAACTCGTCCTTTTCATTGCGTCCGTCTTTTTGTTGCAACTCTTCCCTTCCATTCGTTGCTTCCTTCCTTTCGTTTCAACTCTTTGTAATCCCGTTCGCTGCTTCTTTCGTATATACGTCGTTCCTTCCGCTTTAAATCGGTTTAACTCTTCCCTTCCGTTCGCTACTTCCTCCCCCTCGTTTCAACGCTTCCATCCTGTTCATTTACAGTACCTCTTCCTTTCATGTCAATGCGTTCATGTCGCTATTTCCTTCCTTTTTTCAAGTCTTACATGCGGTTTGTTTATCTCTTCCTTTTTTCCAAGTCGTTCATTTCGTTACCTCCTTCGTTATAGTCATCATGATCGGTGTTGGGGTCCATAAACCAACCCTTGAAACCGTGACCATGGTTCCGCCAGTTCCTGGAACTGGGGGCCCGGTTCCTAACATGACAGGCCCTTGTAGGGAAAATATGCAAGTGAACCAAACAAAGACGTCCGTTATATGGTGAAAACCCACCATGGACAAAAAAATGTCCCTACCGTTTGCCAAAATAAAAACTAGATGCATATATGACATGCATGTAGGCTTTGAGTGTATGCATGCTTTTCTCCCAAGTCCTTGGTGAAAAAGTCGTCTTCGGGGGGCAATTCGTCTTCGGGGAATTCGTCTTCGCAATTCGTCTTCGGGGGGGAATTCGTCTTCGGGGGGCAATTCGTCTTCGGGGAATTCGTCTTCGCAATTCGTCTTCGGGGGGGAATTCGTCTTCGGGGGGCAATTCGTCTTCGGGGAATTCGTCTTCGCAATTCGTCTTCGGGGGGGGATTCGTCTTCGGGGGGCAATTCGTCTTCGGGGAATTCGTCTTCGCAATTCGTCTTCGGGGGGGAATTCGTCTTCGGGGGGCAATTCGTCTTCGGGGAATTCGTCTTCGCAATTCGTCTTCGGGGGGGGATTCGTCTTCGGGGGGCAATTCGTCTTCGGGGAATTCGTCTTCGCAATTCGTCTTCGGGGGGGAATTCGTCTTCGGGGGGCAATTCGTCTTCGGGGAATTCGTCTTCGGAATCCGTCTTCGGGTGGGAATTCGTCTTCGGGGGGCAATTCGTCTTCGGGGAATTCGTCTTCGTAATTCGTCTTCGGGTGGGAATTCGTCTTCGGGGGGCAATTCGTCTTCGGGGAATTCGTCTTCGTAATTCGTCTTCGGAATTCGTCTTCGTCTGCGGGTGGAAATGTCTTACCCGCACAGCGGGCGCAATGTATATATATATATATATGAGTTTTACTATGTTTTACTGACGTATTTTAACAGCATTTAGATTTTTAACATGTATTGACTATAATGTGGTTGTTGAGGAACTTTATTTTGGTTGAGATATGAGATTCCTCGGTTTGTTGAGGAAGATTGCAACCCATTCTGCCGCCAAACTGCACCAAACCAAGGTTTTTTTGTCCAGTCGATAGAGCCCTAGTTTGAATGAACACATGCATGTTCAAGCCTGCTGTTTTTGCTTGGGCATAAACCATCATAAACCATCATAAACCCACAATTACCTTGGTAAATCCCCATTCGATGACCAAGACAAAGATGGTCTCTTTACTGTCGACTTTTGGCTCGGCCTGATCGCACTCCAATCGCTCTATCTGCCACCGCATCACCGGAGAAGTGTAGCCATGGAAAGTTCATCAATCAGTGAGGAAACCGTTGCTGGCCTACGGCGAACTGCTGAGTAGTCAAGGCAAGTGAGCTGGTTGGCTGCAGTTGCTTGCGTATCTTGAAAGGCAGGTTCACTGATTTTTTGAAAAACACATTGCTCATTTCGTGACCACTATCTGGACAGCGAGATAGCTGCAAGACAAACACTGGCAATTCTTGCACTGGCTGGGTTGGCTCGTGTGCAATGTAGATGCAAAGCTTCCATGAATGCCATTCAAAACTGCTGCAGCTTAGCTGGGTACCGATCGAATTGCTGCATCAAGTTTCATTTAGTCAAACGACTTCACATTTGGATGTGTCTGAAAATGAAATACACCACCCAAATGGCCATATTACAGTAAATAGCTATGGTATGCTATTAACATGGAAAATGATGTTCAAAATGCTGATTGACCAATGGATAAAATGAGACACCTATCTAATTTTCAGAAAACACCAGCAGCTGGTTGGCCGAGAATCCCCACAGGAGCAGTAGAGTCCGTTGGCCAAGACCAAATGACTGCACTTTTGCCCCTTCACCTGGGCTCTGCAGTGGCAGGGAGAAATTCATGCAGCCATTCCATATTTGATGGATTGTGTACGGCTATAAATGTCTCAATCCAGAGAAAACTAAAGCATCACAGCGACACCATGAAGCCAGTTGCTCTAGAAACAGCTGTTAGACCTGGAGATACCTGGTACCTGGAGTAACTATATAATTCCATATACCATCTGGTTATGACTAACATAGCCATGGTATAGATGCCCCATAGAAATAGATAGTTTACCTATTAAAAATGGTGGATCTTTCCATGGTGAACTGTTAAATAACCAGATGGTAATCATTTAATCTAAACTCCAAACAAACCATACCAAATCTCTGGACAGCTGTGCATTGGCCTCGTAGATGCTCCTGGTCCAGCTTCCCTCCGTGCAGGTGGTGCGGGAGATTCCCTTCGAATCCACAATGTGAAGGGCCTGGCATCAGGGTGACCGCAGCCCAATGCAGATCATTTAGAGACTTACCCTCTGGTAAACTAACATAGCTATAGAAAATCACTATTTTTAATGGGTAAATCCACTATAAATGGCCATTTTCAATAGCTATGTTAAACTACCAGAGGGTAAGGAATTCCCAAGCTGAAATGAGGTCACTTTGGGCTATTCCCATGTCCCCATAATGGTCCCCATAACGATTTATGGTAACCACCAAGGAATCTCGATGAATCTCGGCACCTGCTGGATCACACTGTCGGGGAGCAGCACCGACCTAGGTGAAACCCACAATGTTTTTCTAGGTCATGTTCATCTAAGTCTGGTGGAGACCCTGCAGTTTTGTTTGTTAGTTGGGTACATGAAACCCTTTGATTAGACCTATGTTGTTTAAAATCCTCCCGAGGTTGGCTAGTTATCTTATAAGTTATATTGAAAAACCGTTCATCGACCCTTCAATTTTGGTGACCGTATTACCTTACCTTCATCCAAAAACAAATTGAGGCTTATTGTTAAGGGTCAATCAATGCGAAATTCTTGTAGATTCTGGTCATCTGGGGACCATCCGGGACCCCAGGAAGTCGCCAAGTGGCAGCCCCGCCAAGGCGGTTTCAGATACACTGCTGATGGGGATCCCCTCGGCATCCGGGCGGGTTCACACTTGTACCCATAACGTACTCATCAAACATTTTGAGTTTGAGGATAATTCCAGTAGATGGAGGATAATCAGTAGGACATTTGAGGATTGACACGTATTTAATAGAACAATGAACCTTTGCCACCAACATCACCACCACAAGAACCCTGTACGAGCACTGAACCAGAAAAGAAAACAAGCCTCTGCAGGTGTCGGGGCGCCAGTTTTTGGCACCTCGGGTTGGGATTATAAGTGGCCAAATGGACTAGGAGAATAATTAATCCCCAATATATTGCCATTATGAATGATGATAATCTCCAATGTATTATTACAGTAGATAGTATGGATAGGCCCCTATTAATCATCAACCAACAGGGTTGTGAACACTGTTCAGGTACTCGTCCATATGAATTTTGTGGATCTTAGGGCCAATCTTAGGGTGTCGTATCGAAAAATGGAGACAAAAAAAACCTGCCATGCTATAGCTGCTATAGCCACAGTTTGTCAAGTGGATTTGCAGAATGGCAGAAAAAGGAAAGCGAACTCAAAAGGAAAGCAGGAAGTCGGCCATGCATTTGAGGGTTTTTGATAGCAAGGAAAACATGCCATTGAGAGGAAAAAAACACTGCTGGGAAAACGTTCAAACTGTTGGTGCAACAGAGAATCAAACAGAGACATGTCTCATATCGTTGCCAGAATCATTTCTCATTGCGCTCTGGTTTCCCAACATTTCACGTGCATTTTGATATTATGGTATGGCCTGTCAGGTTTCGAACGCTATGGCTACATACAAAGCAAAGCCTGGAGTGACGGACTGGTCAAGGTCATGCAGCTGCAACCCCAAGCCGAATCATGGTGACATTGCATACACCATCTACCGTATCTATTCATATCTGATCATCTAATATGTCGAATATATTATAATATATTCACATCGGTTCACATCAGAAGCCATCATCATCATCATCATCCGAATCCATTCTCGCCATTCTCTGTGCTGCCCGGGCCAATGCTGCTAAGAGATCCTGAAGTGCCTGGTTGTCGCAAGCCAAATCGTGACTTTAGGAACGAAATGTGATGATTTTTCGATGCCCACCAGGAATATGAATCTGAGAATATTGGAAGTTAATGCTCAAACGTGAAATTTGACTGCAAGCCCCCAAACGATCAAAATGTGCAGGCTATACCCGGTATGGGTCAAAATGCCTCAGCTGTACTGGTCATATTACAGTATATTACAGTAATAGTCACCACATGTCACCACGTAACCCATCAACACTGCCCCAATACTCATGGGCCTCAACCATCTCTTGGAAAAGTGAGGCTGACAACTCTGACAACGGACTGAAATGATCCGAGATGCCAAGGGCGTATGCCATACTTGGGGAATTTTAAACAAAGTTTTCCTGTAGATGTGTGCATTCATTATGAAGTGTTTACTGAAAGCAATATCCGCTTGACTGCTGCACTGATTGAGTTCCTCCCCCAGTCCGACCTTGAAACGATGTACCCGCGATTCCATCGCGCCACCCCAAAAGAGCGCCTTTGCACCCCTTGAAATTCAATCAATGCCATATCTTTGACCCCCGCAACTTGTGGATATTCTTGGATTTCTCTTGGATGGTTTTATATGGTTTTATTATACTATGTAATCTTACGAGTTGTGTCTAATCTTCAATTTGTCTACTTTTCAAGCCTTGGACCACCACTGACTCTGGTCATCTCTGGTCACTTGTGGACCTTTGCAGAGCTGCAGCAGCTGCAGCGTCACGTACAACGATATCAAGGGATCAACTAGACAGATTTCATCAGATTTCATCAGATTGTTTGTAGAAGATGTGTAGCCATCCCACGGCAGAGAATCTGATAGCCTCAATAAATCTCAGCAGATCTGAACCCAAGAAATTCTGCCATTTTTTCAGGGCGCTGTCGCAGCGGCAGCGGCCCTGGACGCAGGTCGCACCTGAAAAGTTCAGTAGAGCATGCTGGGAGCGATCAATACGGTTGTGTCTTTCCTCTCTGCTTCAACAATGTGGCTTGTCATGGCTTATCTTACTTCTCTTCTTGTCACAAAGCAGCTTTCAACAAGAGCTGTTTCTGTTAGTTCAAAGTCATTGCAGAAGTGGACATCTCTGATCAGCCGATCTCAGCTACTGTCATTTCTTGTTTCCAGTTTTCAGATGTTTTCAGCACCTGCTGGGGCAAGTTTTCAAGCAGAAACTCGCGCTTGGCATCGTCATCCTTCAACTGCTCCCAATGAAAGTAGGGGATCACCGCCATGTCAAATCCCATAGCCTGCGGGGAATGTGACACAAAATTCATATTTCAGCTGTTCACCTTGAGGCTCCAGTTCGAACACGGCAACAAACTCCAACAATCTCCCATGGGGATGAGAAAACTCAGGAGCAAATAATCATCTTTGAAAGGTCTCACAATCGAAGGCTTCGGTCCTTAACCTCTATGCGCATCTTTGGGAATTGTGGAAACAAGAATCGCCATTCATACTACCAGTTACTAGATGTTACTAGTATATTTTCCCGAACTGGTAAACTGGGATGTGGGATTTTGGAGGGTAAAAGTACCCAGGGACTTGGAACTGTTCTTATTTGTGGCTCAACCAGCAGACAGGTGCATCATTCATTGCACACTTCATATTTGGGCACAGGTCCTTCGTCATTTCTTCGTCTTCGTGCATCATATCCACTCACTATTGGTTTCTCCTGCCATGTCTATTAAAGTCTGTCACATCTCTCCCGAAATGAGGCAAACGACAGGCTGACAGACTTGGTCATCGCCGATCCTTTGAGCGGGGATAGTGAGCCACATTATCTTGTTGGGTTCACAGTACATCTCCAGGATGGGTGTACGTGAGTTTGTCTGAAGCTGGACTACACCGCCGCAAAAGACATGATGATTTGTTGTTATGTTTTTTTCCCTATTGAAATTGCCAAAAATTAAAATGTAAATACCCAGTTCGAGGCAAAACCCGTATTGTTGGCTATATATATGGCTATATCAGGCTATATCATATCATACATCAACTGATATCTATCCCATGATATTACCATCATGTTGGTTAATCCTTCAAATTGATACAAACCTGGTAATTAACCTACAACATATTGTACAGCAAATTGTATGTTTCAGATGTTCCATGATATCCCCTTTCCAGTTGGTTATCATAGTCTTGGTTACTACTAGTATTGGTTATATATCCCGTAATTATGTACGCATTGATATTGATATTGATATTGATATTGATATATATATCTATTGGTTGGTTCCGGCACCACAATATATCCCATAAATGGTTGTTAATACTGTTGCTCATTGGGTTGTACAATGTCCAATTATATAAATCAATACAATCTAACTCCGGCATTCCATTCATGTCAATTACAATTCAACGGAATACAATGTGCCGTTGGAAAAACATTGATACAATATCCCATCATTCCATCATTCCATTATGCCATTAATATCAATCATCCATTTTTGATATGGAATAGTAATTGATTCCATATGATTCCATCAATGTAATTCTAGTAGATTCCATCAATGTATCCTCCATTATATACAACGCGAATCGCTGCATCGCGCCTTCAGCATCTCCTGCCTCCTTCGTGCCAAGGCCGTGAGATGTGAGGAGCGCAGGTAGTAGGACCAAGCGGCAGAGGCTTCCACGATGCCTCGCTGCAGGCGATTAAAAAGGGTCTAAAACCACTACAAAATGGGCGATTTTACCATCAAAAAATTGTGGTTTAACCATCAAAAATGGGGATTTAACATGATTTAACCATCAAAAACAATATATTATTTAACCATCAAAAGATGGAGATTTATGACACGATTTCACTTTATCATCAAAAATGGTGATGTCAATGGAAATATCATCGGATGACTAGTTTGCCCTCCAGTAAACTAACGTAAACATCCAAAAAGCGATTAAAATCAATAGGTGTCCCTTCGAAAGATGTACAAATGGATTGTCCATTATGTGACCATTAGTTTACTGGAGGGTATGTTTCACCACCCAGCCTGCGCCATGTTTTGTCTGGAGAGACCTATGGGACCTATGGGGTACCCCATTTTTAGGAAACCGCTATTTGTGTGATTGAATTCTTTACTGAGTTCGCAAGAAATGGATTTTGAGCCATACTTGGGTGGCAGTGATGTGAAATCATATGGTTAATAAAGATATTAATTAAATTAAAATGTTTAAACCATGAGAACATGATCGAAAAAGGATTTCCGGATTTCCACAGATCTAACCTTTGCAAATTCAGCAGCTCGATCCATATTTTGATCTCAAGATATCTCAAGGGATCAAACAGGCCTAAGAGACCGATGTCACCTGGTCACCGATTCGGCCCAGCTGCACATGTCCTGCAGGTGGATATCCAACACCATGGGGCCTGCAGCGATCTTGTTCTGATGCGGGATGCTCATGGATCCTAAGATCCGACTCAGATCCTGCACGGATCCCTGTGCCGCTGGTTCCATTGCTGGTTCCATCTGGCCACACAAGACTCCAGACCAGCAACAAATCATGTTCGACTATGCAAAAGGTTGCTCCTGAACCAATCAAAAAGTTGAAATATGTTGAAATATGTTGAAATGTGTTGAAATCATCTAAAATCCCTCAATTTCTGCTGGCTTCCACAACGAAACAAACATCTCCTGGTGCAGCTCTGAGTTGAACTTCTTCCGGTCGAAGTTGGGCCGCTTCGCCAGCGGCGCCTCGTTGTCCTCGTCGTCCTCGTCGTCCTCGTCGTCGTCGCGGCTGATGGTGCTGTCGTGGGCCGCGTGGCGCACCTCTTGGAGGAAGAGACGCACCTGGCGGTCAGGTACCATGGATGGCCTGATGACATTCCCGTACAAACTCCTACAAAATAGTGAAGCATACAGTATATAGTGAAGTTTTGGAAGTTTTATGCATTTTGTAATGATGATATGGGCCACGGTCAATATTTGGTACTGTACATATCGTTTTTCAGGTTTTGGTATATAAGCAAATGTTATCGTTTTTTGAAGAGTGTATTATCGTTTTCCAAGCCCCAGCTCAATTTCCAAAAAATAAAGATGTCTCGAATACTACTCTTCATTAACCTAAATTTTGGCTGTAGCTCATATTTATATACGATATTGATATTGATATATGATAATATAATAAAAATAAATAAAAATATCATGAATCATGGGAATGTGGGGCTATGGGTGCCCACATGTGCCCACCTCATCCTCCAACGACTCCCACAGCTTTGGGTACAGCAGGTGCACATGGAGCTCCACCATCTGCAAGTGCCGCGAGTACCTCACCGGAGATATCCACAGATCATCTGCATCTGGGTCCCTTTTCTTTTAAAGAAAAGGGCACCAACCAGATTTCAATCTGAATACTGTAGATAAAAATGTGAAACAAGCCCCATGTTGCCTTGGAATTTTTCATGTTTTGCGGATTGTTTTTGTCATAGTCCATCAATCAGCTCCGCCCTCCACCATCCTCCACCCGCACCCTCCTTCCCATGCTGGGGCACCAGAAATGGCTCCTGTCCCTCTCACATCTCTGGAGGTAGCTCCTCATGGCATCTTCATCATCCAACAGTTCCATCACTGCGATGGCCTCGCAGCCACCAGTTCGATCACTGCGGATGGCCCAACCTTCTTTGGTGAGATCTTGTTCCGAGGTGTTTCAACATCCCACAGATTCTCAGTGGACACTAATTAGTCCATCTATGTCCATCTTATGTGATGCGTTGCTTGCTGTGAAGTCAAGGATGTGTTTTGCAGTGATGCAAATATGCGGCACATATGTTGGACCCACAGTGCTGGGAACACTCTGTGCAGTGTCCGTCAGGGTTGTTGACTTTGTTGATTAAGGTGTTCAGCTGTGCATAGCACAATAACATACAATAACGACGTAAAATTATGATATAAATCATCTTACTGCAAACATCACGATTTCATACAAATTCACTGAAAACAAGACACAACACCCACTTCAAGTTGAGAAAAATGCTCGGGAACCACCGGCCTTCAAACGCATCAAGTTCTTGGGCGCCATCACAGCGAGCCACGTGGCCAAGGTCATCTTCAGAGGCTTCGCCCAAAGCTCCTGAAACGCCGCTGGGGTTGAGGTCATCTTTCAACAAAACCCCGAATTGATATGAATTGATTAGAGCCTCCCCCTCAAAAAAAAACTTGTGCAAATCCATGCTGGTTGATTATGGAGAGATTCATCATCCACCGGATAATCCGTGGCAACATATTCAGATCATGTCAGTAGTCCTATCAGCCATCAGCCAAAGGGTGACCCCAATGAATGGGAGTATAACCACCTACGACTCATCAATAAATACACATAAATAAACTATAATGAAGATGCAAAAATCAAAAGGCTTATCTCAAGGTTTATAACACCTCCAAAATCCAAAATTTCACCCAGTGCTGAATCAGTACTACCTTAAAATAGATCTGAAAATTACAACCAACTCACCCAGCAAAGCCGGTGCCTTGGAAAGATCCAACTTGGCCACCGCATTGGCGCTCTTCACAAAGTTCTTCTCTGCCAAAGAACGCCATGCGAGGCTCAAGTGCTGCATCACTCGACCCGCCTCGTGTTTTTCGGCATGACCCATCTGGACCTTGGTCATCTTCAGTGGTACAGAGTAGTACTAGTATCTACTGTATCTACTAGTAGTAACATTCATTGTTTATCAATTGTTGGGGGTCAATAACAATGAGTTTGAGCTAATCAAACAGGGACAAACGTGGAAAAAACGGAAGTCATGTTTGTGATTTGAAACTGGAAAGGCATCTACACTAAAACACATGCCATTATAAGGATTACCCTTAGATATTCCTTCCCTGGTCGAATGGATTCAGACCTTCGAATACCTCGCCACACAACTGCCTGCAGCTGGGCCGATTTTTTTCACAAATATGGTTCCAAAGGAACTGTGAAACTACTAATCTTGTGCAGCCTTTCGAACAGGCAGGAGGAAAGAGGATTGCTGGTGGATTGAAAAGAATCTACCAAGAGTATTGGAAACTCCTATATATCACACCGTCCACCTTGTTGTTTCCGCTGTTCCTCAAAATGAAATATGGCAATTCAGCCATCATGGGGATTCCATTCCATGCTCTTTCCAACACCTGGATGCTTTGCTTCGCAAAGTCTGGGAGACCAAAACCTGTTCGGCAGGCACGAAAACTGCGCAAGCCAAGCCAAACTAGTAGCGCTGCAGTTGGCATTTTACATTCAAACAGATTAGATCAGATTAGCCAAGATTCAACACCATTTGGGTAGCATTTCCACCACACTCAGTGTTCCACAATATTACCTGTTGAATAGGTGTTCCACACGGTTGATGTGCCAGATCCCCTAAGCACTGCAACCAAGGTCTGCCGTGGCTCTTAAAATACAGCTGGATCCCCTAAGACCAGGCCCTGTGGAGCGCAAGACCTGACTCTCCTGCTGGAAAGATCTGGAAAGTAGCCATCTTCAGGATGACTCACAGGTCCACTACCAATTGAATTCCCCTGGTCCTTAGGTCCTTCCGCTCCTCACCCAAACGGGGTTTCACCATGAACCCAGCCACTGGCTTCGGCCAGTCATCTTTGTACAGCCGCTGCGCTGAGCGGATCACTGCTGACCATCACATGTCCTTGGCGAATTACACCACAGCTGGACTGGAGGAAAGGCCTGAACAGTGATGGTAATTACCTGATTCCAATTTCATATCCTCCAACTGATGGGTAATTTGATACCCCATCGGTTTTTTCGGGTCTCCAGTCCAACATTCATTGGACCCCCGAATCAACTGCTTGATCAGCCAAGTCTCAGGATGGCCGACCACTCCAGGAAAGAGGGAGATGGGTGAACTCACCACAGCCTGAGTTCGGACAAGGTGTGGACAGGACCAACAAAAGAACTTCACCTGTTTGAAAAAGGAAGATATACCCATGTATTAAATTATATATACATATATACTACATACATACATGTGCGTGCGTATGTATGTTTGTACAGTACATATGTATGTGAATATATATATATATATACATTATACATATGTAAAATCCTCATGTGTATAATATAGTCCTCATAATATAGATAGATGTGGTGCAAATGACATCATGATCCTGCTGAAGATTTCACAACTCAAATGCGGCCAGGACCAGGTTGCGGGCCAAGGGATTGGGTTGTGCCATCCTTTTGTTCGCAGTAGAGGTGTGTACCTTGCCACGTGCCATGGGAATCAATGGGATGAATGGGCCCCCTGGAGGAAAAAAACACCCTAGGCCATGGGAATCAAAACATCCCTGTTGATGATTCCACTCAACTCTTGACAAATCCATACAAATCCTCAATGAAGTTTCTGCTTGACTCGTCAGGACAGTTACTCATCGCTTTTCCATCTATCCAAACACACTCCCTGCCACTATCATTGCAGGTCTAGCGTACATAAGGCTGCAGGTTGGCCCTATAGTCACTCCTCCGGGGCGCAGGGGACCAAACAGAAATGGCTGGTGATTGAAACTGTGAAATCATCCAAAAATCATGTGCACAAGGTGGCTGTTAGGGATGAGTTGAAGTCTTGCCGACAAGAATCATCTCTATCTACTGTGAAACAATCTATACAAAGGTAAGGCCCCTGCAGAAAGGAAAAAGGGGCTGAAGGTGCGAGTCAATCCGCATGGTCCAGAGGCTGATTTTCTGAGCAAAAAATAGATCGCTGTTGGTTTGAACCCGCATCCCATGCTGGTCAGAACTCCCATCTGTGTTGCTTGGACAGCCTACTGTATTTTGGTTAGTTTGAACTATGAACCCAAGATATTTGTTTCGCTTCCAAGGTTTGGGGGGACACTCAGTTTGAGCCGTACAGCTCAAGAGTCCAGAGTTGATGAAAGCCCGTCTTTGGGTCATCGTGCAAACTAGTGGATCAGTGGGATCTGACCTTCCCAGTATGTTTTATTGTAAAAATAACCGAATATTGGATGACATACATTTAATTGTAATATCGATCAACCCAATTTTGATTCCAATAATGTAATTAAAGCCAATCTTTCAGGATTAAATCCGTTTTTGGGATATTAACCGTACCTTTACCAGATTTGCTCGCCGCACTGTCCTCCAAAGTGAGGTTGGTGGACCGCCCACATAGTTGTAATGCACCTAGCGATCACCAATGGAGCAGCCAGCAGTGAAAGCCAAAAGTGCAATAGTACCCATGAAATCCCTCCTTTTTTGGGCCCAAAAAATAAGATCCCAGATCCATAATCATCCATATTCAAGATCCATATTGTATATACATATACATATCATAGTACAACCGTCCTTGCAAGGCACCTCCGAGATGGGCGGCCTCAGCATCCAAGAAATTTATGGCCAGATCCACTCAGCAGCACGGTGATCCCATGAAGTGGCCCAAACATGTGACATCATATGACATATGATTCATGATACTTAAAATATCTTAAAATCATTGACATATCTTTTTCCCTATGGAATTGATCCCTAATTCACTACACCATCCTCATTTTTGGCAGATTTGGCAGCCAATCACCCCAATCTCGAGCTGGGTCATCCCCACTTCATTGGCGCCGTCAGGGGCCCCGTGTGCAGCTCCGAGCGTCGACCGTCCTGGGCGAGTACCAAGTGGTTGGTAGGGTTTAGGGTTGGTCGTATTTGTTCATGGTGGTTAGTAAAGGTGATAATGGCCAATATTGGCCAATATTGGCCAATATATATGTGCTATATATATATAATACATATAGAACTGATTACGAATAGTGAACAAACTACCATGATTCGGTTTGAGAATTTTGAGAGAAGCCATATCGTCGCAGCCGCAAACCACTGGTGTTCACTGGGCTGTGGAAGGTCAGCTCCCGCTTGATCCCCGGACCATGCGTCGCTTTTCTTTGGCTCGGGCCTGCTGGAAAAAAAAAACATCGATCGCACTTCAAGTGCCCGGTAACGAAATCAGCACCACATAGCACCACACTAACATTGATATCATTGATGGAGACATCACATGATGTCGTTTGATCTGCCTCCTGAATCATCATCAGCTGCTTTCGTTGAGCTGCTTCCTCCTGCTGTTCTGCTTGGATGCGCAACTTGCATTGGCCAACGTGGTTCGTATAGCCATGCAGATCATTCTGTATCCCGAATATAAACTTGGAAGGATATCTCCAAAAAATCGAAGCTTCGTTTGGGGGTTATGGACTGTTATAGATGGTTTCAGTGGAATGTATCTAGATCATCTACATCTCAGTTCCAGTTGCCACTTACAGACCACTGTCTTCCATGGCTCCAAAACCAAGCATGACACCTGTGCCCGCCCACTGAGTCCTGCTGGGCTTCAGCAGGTGTCTTGACATACCTTGGAGCAGATCCCAAGATCGACCAAAGCACCCAGGGGGTCCGTGCTCGTTCGTCCACTTTCTGGTTTTGTTTCAGGAATTCTTGGCAAGAATCCATGATTTTATTGATTTTTACCATTCAGTACAGGGAGTTCTTATAGGTGTCCCCTCCATTCAATTCTGGGATTCACGTCAAGTGACGTGCACCAAAAGGTTTCATCCAACATGTCTTTGATCTGATGATAGAGGTTCACTGCGTTTGCTGCAACGGGTTTTTTGATGTATATAAACGCGAACATGTTTCAGCTGCGTTCATATTTACCTGTCTTCTTACATCATATTGCCATTTGGTACATTATATGTGCCATAATATAATATGTATATATATATATATGATAATAATTATATACATTACCATACTCTCTGAAACGAAACATAGGACAACAAAAGAGGGTTGAACATGATTCTTGATTCACTTTGATTCTAGACTCCTAGTCTCTGGTGGGCCCAGCCATCTGGGGCAAACCACCCCTTACCAAGGCACTGCTTCTTGGGGACAGGTACCGCAGGAGGTGGCGACTGATGATCAATGAAGTTGTCCCTGTCAAAAAAGGGATTGGCGATTGGCGCGATTTACCTCGAAATGGAAATGGCTTCAGATCAAGTATTTGTGATAGCTGTTAGTTGATTAGTTGATGGATTTAAGATTCATAGAGCATCATAGAGCCTACTTTAACTGGGTATCACCGGTATCACCGGTAAGCTGCTAGACCCAGTAGTTCAATCATAACTGACGCACCACGTTACCCACGGTAACCAGCTGGGCCTGTACTCTGAATCCATCACCTTTGGTTGCCTTATGCATCTTATGCCGGGTGCGCATGCTGCAAGAATGAAGTACTACTGTCATCTCCGAGACTGGGCTGACCAGGTGAAAATTGATTTTGGTCGTGACAGCAGGGTAGGAAATATTAAGCCAAAGGGCCTATCCATCTGACCATACTTCAGCAAGTTCTGGCATCATCAACAACATCATAATCATGATCATGACTTTACGTGATGCTAAACGCATATTGAAAATTCATGAAATTGTGTGTTTTGATCGCTCTCACATGAGCCCGCACTTGCAAGCAGCCAAAGACGGAGCTTCAAATGCCTTGAGACCCTCATCAACATCATCATCATCATCAGCATCATCATCATCAACACTGGGGTCATCCTCAGCTAAGTATTATTGGTGACGTTTCTTCTTTTCCGATTCATCTCAGGACTGGACCAGGGAGCTTGAGGCTCCTCAAACAGGTCGCCCGATGTGCCAAAGTTGTTGCACCGGGCTGCAAATGGTAGAAGAGTAGAAGAGCAAGAAGAAGAGAAGAATCTAATTGATGAAAAATTGTGCTGCTGGTGGTGGTGGTGGTGATGGTGATGCTGATGCTGATGATGATGATGATGATGATGATGATGATGAACATGAATTTATAAGAGATGTGAAAGGTATGTGAGGTGTAATCGTGACCTTCATCTCATGAAAGACTTGTCTGAAAAGTGCAAGTAGTACCCAAGGGACCCAAGGCCATTCGCATCCACATTCTTTGACACCCGTGCGCTGGCCCAGGCCCTGTCCTCTGGTTTCCTTGGAGGTCCATAAATGTCAGCACCTCCAGGACGGACTAAGTTTGGGCCGCTTAAGAACTGGGGGAAAGGAACTGAGGCAGTTCAAGGTCAAGATTTCTCACATTGAAGCATTAGAAATCATTACAATATATCAGAATATGAATATATTATCAGAATTATGAAATCCATAAAAATCCATATAACTGTCACAAATTGCACACCAAGGCACACATGCTGCCATAGGTGGAGGTCCATCCTCCATTCAAGCGCTTCAAGGCAGCTTGCACTCGCGCGGCTTGAGCTGCAACTTCACTGCTGGCCTGGCTGATTGGTTGATGAGTTACAGTACTTGGCTGGAGTCTTGGTCGGTACATCAAACATCATCAAACTACTCAGATATTCTTGAGATCTATCAAGGTTATCAAGTCCGTCAAATTGGTCCACTGGTCTATCATGGCAGAATTCTTGGAAGCAACGTTGCTGCTACCGAAATTGAAACTCGAGAAGACATCAAAAGGAATCGCAAATTATCTCATTATGTCACTGTCACTTGAAACTTTTGTGCGACAATCAGTTTCGCCCATAGGGCCCATAGTCAAGTCATCCCCCCAAAAAAAAGAGGAAACAATCACCAACAACATCTATTGAAATACTTGGTGCTTAAAGACTTTGCGCACAAATCGGTTTCCGATTGATCATACTCCGGACCTCCGGCAGCGCAGGAAGGGAGATGGAGGCTGAAAGCCTACCATCAGGGTCTCATTGGCGAAGAAATCCCAAGTGATCCATGTCTAGTCATGTGCCATTTGGGGTAATATAATGGTAATATCAGTAATATTGGTGATAGATGGTGATAGTGAAATCCGGGTGGCCCATCTTTACCCTGGAATTTAGATCTTGAATCCAACATCCACTGGGAAAAAAACTACAAACGGAATGGATGTTCGAAAATTAAATCTGTAAACAAAGTGGAGTTATGACCGCAGTTACCCAGGTAGTCCGTGCTGCGGTTCCCAGATGGTACCACCATGACCCTCAGCGAAATCAACGTTGTCCGAGGCGCTTCGACTTTCGTCCAGCCTCCCAGCCACGGCAGGATGACAACGCCAAACAACCCATGCCATGCTAAGACAATCTTAACAGCCAGGCTTGGTGGAAAGTGTGTGAAATCTAGATCCATAGCTGATATACCTGTGTAAACAATCAATAGATATCAATAGCCATGCAATCTGCGGCGAATACTGATTGGCTAATAAACTGGCTAAAGAAATCCCCAATTTTCATGAACTTCGCAAGTTTGTCCGAATCTCTCATTCCGGCTTCTTAAATCCTCAGATGTTGTTGCTTTGAATTTTGCTTGGCTCAACCCCGGCTTTAGGTGGCCAACATTCCGTCTGATGCACTAGGCCACTAGGCATTCTGGCCAGTTGAACCTAATAATTTCATCAATTTGTCTAGGTGATTTTGGGGTTGTTTGAGGTCTCCATCCCTATCCATCCATCATTTACCAGGTCGAGGTCCGCACCGATGAAATCACACTGAGGGCCGAAGGGGCAGACAGTGAGACCTGCCGCCAGCTGGTGATGCTTTGAACTGAATGTAATGTGATGACACCTTCATGCACCAAGGCATTTTATATGTTTTATTTCATTGCAAGACTTATGTACTTCCATTCTTTTTTCCTTCATAGACTTGGAAGTGACTCTCACTCTTGCGGCCTGACTCTTGCTCACGGTTTCTGCATCTCTGTGCCTGGACGCCAATGACACTTCCATGTTGGGTGCCAGAGTTTCCATGCCAAATCATCACATCTTCCATCTTCATCTGGGGGATTCTTAAAAGAAGGGACTCACAATCATCCAGAATCATCCAGAATCATCCAATGCCAAGTTGGGTTTCCCTGAGGCCCCAGCTCCTCCATACCCAAAAAGCGGCTGCAGGAAGATTTCAAGGGGCTGCGTGGCGTTGTGACCCTTGGCCCTTGTGCCTTGTGATGAGTATGTAAGAAATAGAGTTAAATAAAGCTAGAAAAGATTACAATTTACAATGGGGAAAAAACATAGGGAATAAAATGAAATCAACTGCATGCTGACTGAGTGACAGAGATTGACGGCTAAGGGTTGCTATGGGTTGCTTCCGGCGGCAGACCTTTCACGAAGCTGGTCAAGTCAATACTGTAAGAGGTGTGCAAAAATATCTGCCCTACTACGTAGTACTTTCGATATCTTTCGAGATGTGGAGGTTTTCTCTCACGGACACTACAAGTATCTAGTTTAAACTTGTCGCGTTGCCTATACATTCATGGGATGTTTGAAGGATCCTGGCGGAAACTCAACTTTCTACGTCAAAGCTCTACTTTTGAGCCACTTGGCCTGCGGAATCCAGAATGAATAGTTGCTTGGTGTTGCCACACTTGTGCACATTCCAAGTCCCACCCTGCCATTTTCTGAAAATCATGCGGCGCATCCACTGAACTACTGAACCACCATCATCCAATCATCCAACATCGAAAAAAGATTCGAGCCTTGGGATGTTTCAGCCGCAAGCGGCTCATGGCTTGCAAGATGTAAAACCCCTGGTGCCTCAGTGCCAAGGCGAGCGCACCAAGACGGCGCTTAGCTTAAGACGGACCCAAAAAGTCATCTGTGCATCCGGGGCCGCCCGGCGGCTTCAGATCTCGGACATTTTCCAACCTCAGATTATCTGAGTTATTGTATGTTATTGCATACATATATATGGGAAGAGCATCAATGCTACGTATCTTCCCATGTGAAAAAGGGTTCACGGGTAGCTGATGGTAGCTGTATATCATTGTATATCCCCAACATGTTTGGGTACATCCCCCAAGCTTTCTTAAAGGTATCAGCAAAAAATGATGCAGCTAGCCCCCTCCATTGGTGGAAAAACAACCCACCATTGCTTTGTGCAACTTACCCTACTGAAGGGGGACTGATGACGCAAATTTGTCGCCCAGTGGCACTCGGTTCACCAGCACCAGCACTGCGCTGTGGGGTCCTGCTTGGACCGATGCCATAGCCTCCCCAGAATTCACAGCTGCAGGGATCGTGAGAACATTTTCACGAGGATGAATTGAGCACCAATGAAAATCTGATCTCAAATCTGATTCAGCTTCGAGATCATTCCTTCTCAAGACTAAAGCTGGCAAGACCTTGCCTGCAGAAACCTCAAAGTACTCTGCAAGCTGCAGCGCACCACTGGCGCACGACCTTCAACACCTGCGGTCATGTCCATGTGACGATAAATTACCATTTGCTGACATTAGCTTGCTGCAAATGGAACACCCGCGGCCTCAAAACAACTGACGAGGGCAATCAAAGTTCGGGGAAGAAATGGAGGATTCGAAGATCGCATAAGAAGTAGCGACCATGGCACACGGCCCCGGGACATTTTCCTGACAACTCCCACCTTCACTCTCCCCTGGCAGGGGCCGCACCGAGCGTCCGCATGCCAACTCGGCCTGAAAAGCAGACTTCAATGGGCCAAGGGAGGTACCCAAAACCGATTAAAAATGCAGGTGCTGTACTACACACCCGCATGGACTATTTCTTACTTAGTGATAAACCCCAACGGAAGCTCTGATTTGTTGAGTGTTTGTGTAACCACCACCTACAATCGCTGCATTATACACCCCAACCTCTTGAGGTCTTTAGCCCAGTAAACCCAATGAGCTATGGATGTTCTATTCCCCAAATTTGGGTTGCTTTCCATGAAACTTTAATCTAATAATAAATCATTATCATATCCCGTTTCATTCATTGTTTTTCCATTTTTTCCCTACTGTATACATCTGTATACCCAATAGCATTCGTTATAGTCATAGTATACATGTGCGTTTTCTATTGGAACAGCATCAGGGTCGTCTTGGTGCCCATGCCGCTCGATAACCCAAGGCCATCCACAGCTCAGAGGCGCCAACCTATGGACAACAATGGTAGGATCACGAAATGTCAAGAAACTATCAATCTATGAAGATCTATGAAGTTTATTGTATCGTCTATAATGCATATCATACTATTCTATACAAATCCATACTATGGGCTATGCATGACCATCAAATAGGCTAGGCATAGTCACCTTTCCACAAGCAGACAGGTCGCAACGGCAATGCAAGCCAGGCGGCCGGAAGCCCAGGCGCATGACCCTGAGAGCCGGGGATTATGTGAACGTCTTGTCATCCTATCCATTGAAATCTTATGATCCTGCGCATGTCATTTCCAATTGCTGTGTCTGAATTTGCCAGCCCGAACCGGTCAATCACAGCCAAACGTTAGAAGAACAAGTGAAAGCTGCCTGAAACACCAAACACCGGGTTCACCACAACCCACACCCCAACGAGCTATCCGTATAAGTGAGTCGATGATGATCCCCAGACAGATTTTTTGGCTGAGAGCAAATCATTTTTTCCAGAATAGAATTTGCATCCCCAGACATATCAAATTCAGCCAGGACCACGATTTTCCCAGAACCAGCATCTCCTGGATCTGGCCATATCTGGTCATTTCTTATGTTTCATCCATTTTTCGAGGTTTATGGTCTTGGTTTTTATATGGTTCCATCTCAGACTTTGAGCCGAAACAAAATCCTTGGAAAACTTCCCTGACATCCTGAGCCAAGGTACAACTCCTGGACCCTGGCCCTTTGCCTGGCCACTGCGCCACTTCCGCACCAGGTGAGCCTGCACCCCGGCCAGTTGGAGAGGAAAAAAACCTGCAAGTTTCGTTGGGAATATCGGATTTCTACAATCAATTTTCGGATTAAATACCAGTAGTACCGCCCAAGGCGGTGGCCGAAGTTTCAGAAATAGGAAACCTATAGGAGAGGTTGGTTGTTGTGAATCACGGATGGCAGAGCGAAACCACTGAAGGACCGACAGGTGGTTGAGGTCGCCTCTCTTTCTCTGACTCTCTACCTACCTACCTACCTACCTACCTACCTATCTATCTATCTATCTATCTAGCTATCTAGCTATCTATCTATCTATCTATCTATCTATCTATCTATCTATATCTCTCTCTCATTCTATCCATCCATCTATCTATCTATCTTTCTATCTGTCTATCTTTCTATCTGTCTATCTATCTTACTATCTATCTATCTATCTGTCTATCTATCTACCTACCTATCTATCTATCTATCTATCTAACAGCTGGCTTCGCACCCGCCGCTTTAGCGAGCCTACTTTTCGACCCTCTGGAGACACAAATCATTGGAAAAACACAGCGCGACTTTCGTACCTTTTCGTGCACTTGCATCTTCTTTCTTCTGACTCTTTTCTTCTCTCTTCTCTTCTCTTCTCTATTCTTCTGCTCCACCTCAATCAACACTAAACTATACTAAACTAACCTAAACCAATCCAATGATAGTTCAACTACCCAAGTAACAAAGTGAAGTAACAAAGGGGTACCAGGCTGACATCTGGGCTGTCCAGCTCAACAGTCATCTAGTCTAGGACCCGGCATTCTCCATGTACAGAAACTACCCAGTATATCCCAGTATCACCCAATAACTCACTATCATCATTTTCAAGCATCATTCCCCTGCACCCGCACCATCCGCACCTCATTCATCATGGCAAACTTCAACTCCCGAGTGCTCATGAAGGCCACCAGTTGAGGATCCGGCCTTGGTGGCCGCTGATGTGCCAGGCGCCCCTACAGAGGCAGGTGCCCCAGGCGGCCGCACGTGACATGGTCCGCTTGGATCCAGAAGCGCTTGGCGGAGATGCGTTTCCTGGACGGATGATCCACATGGAAAGCCGTGGCATGGCGTGGCATGGCATGGCAAAATTTGGGATATCACTCGTTATATCACCAACCAAACGGAGCTAATTAGCAAGCGATCTGCTGTAATTATTTAGATCGCTACTGTGCTGTGATTCATGCGACCACAGGGTTACAACACAGTCACTGACCATTTGTGCTGTCTTGAGAGCCAGCAAAGATCCATGAGGATTAGCACTCCCATATATCCCAGTGATTCTCCTGGTCATTCTAATTGGGAACAAAGCACCACTCATCACCAATCATCACCAATCTATATATAAATCTATATATTAACCTACATATCAATTTTTGAATCAATTTATATATCAATTTATATATCAATCTATATATTATCTGTATAATCTATAAATCAAGCTGTATATCAGTCCATCAAAATAAATAAGTAAATATATATATATATCTGTATATATATATATCGAGATAGATATATATATATATATATGTCATGACATCGGGTCAGGTAATCCGGCGGAGCCGACGATGAGCGTCAGCTCTAAATATCAGTGATGTTGTTTGCATTTGATCCTGGTCTCGCCTCTTTGGACGTGCTTTAGGCTCCACCAAGTCCTCCGGGGCGCCATCCATGGTCGGCATGACCGTTCGATGCGTATGGTCCACCTTGGGGGAGGTGCCATCAAAGTACCTGGCGCAATGCGCAGCACTTGCAAATGGGGAAGTGATGTGATGTTCATTACATGTTAAGCAACTTCTAATATATATATATAGTATACATTATGTATGTATGTATGTATGTATGTATGTATGTTTGTTTGTATGTTTGTATGTTTGTATGTTTGTATGTTTGTATGTTTGTATGTTTGTATGTTTGTATGTTTGTATGTTTGTATGTTTGTATGTATGTATGTATGTATGTGTGTATGTGTGTGTATGTGTGTATGTGTGTATGTGTGTATGTGTGTATGTGTGTGTATGTATGTATGTATGTATGTATGTAGGTAGGTATGTATGTATGTATATGTGTATGTATGTATGTATGTATGTATATATGTGGTGATATATGGATAATTTTGAAGAAAAAAGAGGCAGCAAATATGAAAGAATGACCTGATAGTAGGTGTAACATGGTTCAACTGCAACAATCCAAGATGGGTTTGTAGATAAGTTGGAATCTAATCACTGAACTTGCTGAACATATTGCCCTGACAATCACAGCTTCAGGGACCGTCCCACACCTGGTATAGTACTTTGCTTCTGCCTGGGCATCCTCAGCAACCAGATTTCATGGTTCCATGATGTTCAATGGTTCCCTAAGGAAAATGTGTGTCATCATGGTCACATAATATCTGTAGATGATCTGTAAGTCATCCGAGTCACAATGATCATAAGTCAACCATCAAGGGCGGCCCCTCATGGGGCGGCACCCATTCCACCCATTCGCCCTCCACATCCACTGCCGAGATGCTGTGCCCAACGATCCAGGACGATCTGAGTAGGGGTTGGGGATATACCTCACATATCGCCATCAGCTGGGGATTCCATTCGGAAGATTCCGGGAAATTTCGACCGAAATCCAATGGAATCCAACATCAATTTGGCGACTTTTTGGCACGGCCTGATGAGAACATGCCACTCGTCTATCTATATTACACTATATCATAATTATAGAAGAATTACTGTATATTAAAAATTATATCATATTATATTTTTAAAAAATGATATAGTCTGGGCTCAAACCCCTTCCAGTGGTCAGACTGATTTCAGCAGAGCGTTTGAGGGTTGGTTGCATCCGTTCGTTCATGATACATGTTTGGTGAGCTCTCTTCGCTCCATTTGCTGGATGCTCAAATGTGGAAGTTTGGATGGTGCACAGTACCATGCCGGCGATCTTGTCATTGCTTGCGAGACTGCCCTGTTTGTCTTTGTCATCATTGGGTGTTTCAAACTTCCTCTGCGCATTGCTTTGGAAAACATCTCGGCGGAATGCCAGTGAGCTTCATGTCCAAAAGTTCAGGCAAAAATTTCAGGTGGCTACATGTCTAGTGTTGTCAATCCAGAATGCTGTGCGGATTGTTCTTGCGCCACTGCAAGACAACGGCATCGCGCAACAACAGGCTGGCAAGTTGCAAGACTTGATGGGTGGTAGGCAGCGATCCAGCACTGCGTGGATGATAGCTACCTTCATCGTGGGCAGAAGCGGTTGGCAATTTGATGCAATTTGCGATGTTTCGGCTGGTTATGCGAGCGTTTGGGCTTGGGAATGGCTGGCTTCGCGCCGCATTGTTTCTGGTTGACATGCAGCTTCGAGGGCGGACATGGAAAATGTATGAAAATGTCTTATGCGCCTGCTGGACATGCTTGGCACAGCACAGCTTGCAGTTTTCTTGCACCTGCCAAAACGGTAGGCCCAACGGCTTGAGCCTGGAGGTGGCCCCGGCAGCCTTTTCCTCCTCCTGTTTTATCTTGTAATTTCTTGGGGCGCAAGTGCCCAAATTCAAGTTGTGTACAAGCTGACAAACAGCCTATAGCCGGATGTTAATGCTTTTCCGGTAGCTGCATGGAAGTCGGCAGAAGGTGAACTCCGTCTGTCCTCTTTGAGGTGCATCTGCTGTTGATACCGCATTTCTGGATGCATCGCAGAATGCGGTTCTTCGTTTTGGGCCGACAACCGTTTGTCCCATGATTCTTAGCCCGTGCGGCTCTGACGAAAGTCCGAGCCCATGGAAGTAGGGAGAACCGATCCTCTCTGCAGAGCGCAATATCCCTACATATACATAAATATATATATATATTATATAAATGATATGTAACCATCCACCCAACCATGAAACTCGAGGCCGTCACTTGTAGTTCCTCTCAGCCAGCCGCTTTGCCAAGCCTCGCCTCGGACACGTATGAGTAGAATTTGTGGACCATGTCACCATGTCCAGCTGCCCAGCTGTCAGTCTGTTGCACCTTTGTGCTTCTTGGCTACCCGCATATTTGACACTGGGATACGGCGACGCTGGGCTTCCGGGCGCTTGGTAGGCTTGCAAGCTGGCACCGTCCTGAAAGCCATCGGTGACCGACTGAATTCGACTGAGGGGGTGGAAGATGGTCAGTATGGTCGGTCCTCCTCGGGAAGATCTCTCTCCAGATTGAAGTTCGGCACCTGGCATGGTCCAAGTCATGCTGGAAGTGCAGGATGTGTGACGAACATGTCATTCGATCATGGATTCCGCATCATGGATTGTCATCCAATATGGCACCCATCAACCAACAGAGTTTGGCTGGACATTGCTCAGATTCAAATGCTCCAAATTGGGCAATCAGAAATCCTCAGCAATTTTGGGGGACTCCTCTCACCGTCTCACCTTCGTTGGAAGCATAGCTTTGGGCTCTTTCATGGCTTTCACCTGCCAGTGGTAACCAATGGGATCCAATGGGAACCACCGTATACCGAGTCATCCCATGTCCTGGGCTCGATGACATGGGCACGCGCCTTGGCATTCTCCAAGGCCTCGGTGCTTTTGGGCGCTGGCGCTTTGGCCAACGACACCTGCAGGGCTGCTGCGGAAGGAGAGCTGAAAAGCGGAATTGAGGATAGTGATGGATAGTGCCTGTAGAATATATCACGTTTGTGTGTAGCTATATTTTTTATGTGCATGCATAATCTATCTCTAAAATTATGATATGATATTCAGATATATTCAGCATATTCCATGTACAAAAACTCAGTGTGGGATTGGCAATCTGTTAAGCTGCCTTCTCAGACTCCTCCGTCTCTTCAGTCTCCTCCAAGGTCTCCAAATCACGGACCTGGCGCGATTCGAATCTTCAAGGCTCGGAGACAGGTGGATTTACGACAATGTATGGCATTTTGGGGAGACAAACATGGTGGATTTGGCACTGCTTCGGATATACACCAGTTTTGGAAAGCCCCTATAGTATAATAAGTAATCATATCTACAGATACTGATACATATATATGTATATATATATGTAATTATTTATATAATGTGTAGTTCATGGTCCAGTTGTGGTCAACATCTCTGACGTGCCTCTGGAATCCGCACTGGGCGCAAGGACACTGGAAAGTCACCTTCCTGCTGTGGATGTTGAAACAGGGCTGTAATATGCTGTAATGGCATAACCCTTGAAGTGGCTATGTGTCAACACCCTGTCGGTCTAGCTACGGTATCCGTGTCCCCCATATGTGGAGATATGCAGATATATACATACATGTATATATATATATATGTGTGTGTGTACTGTATATGTCTATATTCCCTGTGAATGCATCACATGGGGTCAATGGGGTCTGATTTCTCTAAGGCGAATCCATGTCAACAATGTGTACAGAGCGTCCTGCTTTCGACGAAATTCGCGGACTTTGGCGAACCTGGACAGAGATGCACACCCGATTTTCATGAGGCCCCGGAAGTGACACTCTCAAAATTGCATTTATATTACTGGTAGTTAAGTCTGGCATGATACATGGACTGCCAGTATGTACTGAAATCAAGCCAACCCAAACTCCCACTGTGTTTTTGCTACCCAAATCCGCCATTCTCAGCAGTCTTGGAAGGTGTTGCCTTCCCTCTTAACTGCTGAAACTTGCACAAAATCGCTGGCCTCTGCTGTAAGCGTTCTTTCTTTCGTCGGGCCACCTGCAACGCATGGGAGACCGGCAATCTGACAAATCGGTTTGAAGGTCAACGAATCAGAGACCAATCCAATACTTCCAATTCTCTTGACAAATCCTGGATTGCGCAAAAACATACAAGGCTTACATCAGCTGTCAGGCTCCACGACTCCATCGTGCAAGATACCATATACATCCATATCCTTCATACTCTATGCGTTTACTTCCCGCAATTCCTCACTTCAAGGCAAACTTCCGCCTCTTTTCCAGAAATCCCGGTGGTTCCAGTTTCTGCACCGGGTCAAAGTTAAAGTGATCCTCCCCCAAGCTGTAACCAAACTTTTGATGGCCAACGTCAGGATCCAAGTTGCAGTATACAAACACCTTACCAGGACATAATGGGATATGGATAGAGATATAGATATAGACAGAGATATAGATATAGATACAGATATAGTAATAATAATAGATAATATACAATGAAATATCACATGCCACAAATTCTCTGTGAACAGCCCGTTTCATCCGGGCCCCCCTTCCCCTCGCACCTGTTTCGCGCTCGCGAAGCGCACCGCAACATCCAGTCCAGTTCGCGGATGACCTGCTACTTATCAAACATCAAACCATCACATTCGGTAATAGTATCGGTAACCATATACTATGATACAGGTAAATCACATCGATGTTAATATTATGGTAGTAGTATGAGAATCACAAAAAAGTGATCATGATGGTAATATATGGTAATAATAATAGTAGTAAAAAGACATATAGTAAGTCACATTCAGTCTCAAAATCATAGTTCCCATCATGAACCCAGCGCTATTTTCACAGAAGCGGCTTCGCCCTTTCATTGCTCCAATCGATTGACTTGGCGCGCCGTCCCAGTGGGCTGACTTGATCACGGCTCACCCAGCCCACAAGGGAAACATGGAGAGAATCGCTCTGAAGTCGATGAATGAAAAGGGTTTCATGGCATGTGGAAACATATGGAAGCTAAACCCAAATCGCGTCAGCTTCATGCCATGGGATTGTCTCAAAACGTGAAAGTTTTAGTCTACACTCTGTTCTGGAACAGATAAGACACGAACAAGAAACACTCATGTGACAATACTTCTGAGTCATTGTCGCGCCACGGGAACACCGGTCATTTGCAGCAGAAAAAAAGAAGGCAGTCTGACCAGTGCCCGGGTGATCTTCAAAATAGTTGACACTCCGGCTCTCTCAGGCCAGCAAAAGGCATCCTTTTGCTGTGCTTCTCATGGGAAAATCTGGGGATATGATTCTTTAGCATATTATGAAGGCTAAAAGATGCTAAAAGTTTCAACGGACCCACACGGGATGTTCCCGGTGGAGTGTGGCTCAAGGGAATCTTACTTGGATCATCTCCCTAATCTCTTTACAGCCGATGATTGATCCTTGCATCGAAAATCTTCGAAAGTTGGGAAGCTCTTTGGTTCCGGAGGAAATAGACATCCTAAGGATCCTAGCCATTCCTAGCTCTCTATGATCAGCCTGTTGAGTATAGTGAAACAGCAATCTCTGTTTCAATCCACACAACATCTCTTGGGAGTCGTGCTAGCCTGAGAGCTTGGAGATAGTGTAGACGCCGCTTTCACCGCCATGATCGCTGCTTGGTCCACACTGTCAGACTGTGTTGGTCCACATCTAGGCCTGTGCCAGCTCTACTGCCTTCTTGGCGCCGGTGGTGAAGTCGTTGGTCAAAAATGCTTCAACTCCACTCTCCTGCCATCAGCACATAGGTGGAGGACCTAACCAGGGTTTTTTCTTGAAGGAATTTAGAAATGTCATATTTCCACAAACAAATTCACTCAGCCACATGATGACCAGCACCCCGTCCTTGATGATCTTCATTCCGGCCTCAACGTTGGTACCTGCAAATCCAGGATGATTCTAGAAAAAGGAAAAAAAAACATCATCCCAATTCATCCCAGAGTTGTTGGGGCTTAGTTGCACATATCCCAACTAATCCCCAAGAACCCATCATATGCTGTACATCATCCCATCCCATCCCATCCCATCGGCCTTCCAAGCGGATCACCAGTGGCTTGATGGCCGCGTTGCCGCCCACCGCCTTGACGCCCGCCACCACGGCCTCGGCGATGTGGTCGCAACGGGCGATGCCGCCGAAGATGTTCACGAAGATGGACTTCACCTGGGAAAGGGCCACCATGACATGGTCACTTTCACACTTCACTTTCACTGGCGTCGAAAGGTCCAAGCCTTGCAGCCTACTTGCAAAATTCTCGAATTAAAGCCAAAAGCTTCAACCCTGGTAGTCCGGTAACCAGGACGCATCTTGCCTGATCACCGAACAATCTACTGCGATCTCTTTGATCCAGGACTTCAGGGGAAGCGGCAGGGATGGTGTCTGACGGGTCAACCGAGCGCGATGATTGCGCAAAAGTTGCGCCGCCATAGCCTGTGCAAGACCAGCGGACAGTCTAGGTGGGTATTCCTTATGGACGGCAGTGCGAAAATGCCCTGCTTCGTCAACCCCTATAGCAGCAGTCACGGGCCTCACAGCATCAGGGTCGGCATGCGAGAACAGATCGCCAATGAAATGAGGCATCCTCAGGGTCAGTAAGCCTGTCGGCTTAACAGAAGCAGCACCAAAGCGCCACTGCGCAACTTCATGAAGACGCACATCCGGATGCCGACGGAAAATGTTCATGATCGCGCTTCTCCAGATAGATGGATGATGTGGCTGTCTCGGTGTTCCTGGGTGTTCCTCAATGTAGATTCCACCAAAAACCAAATGGCACGCAAGGGTCCAGATAGTCTGTAGGAAGAAGGCGCTTCCCGCACGCGTCTGCTTGAGCTCCCGCATCTTCCGGTGGTCAAGTCCGAATAGCTGCATGGCCGTTCGAAGAGGGCGGGGCCAGCGATGATGTGGTAGTTCAGGAGGTGGTTCAGTCCATCGCGCCGACGAGAAAGTCTCGCAGGGATGACCCGAAAGGGTCGCCGCCACAAAGCCAGAAAGGTAGGCCTCCTGCAGCTTAACCCATGTCTCTGAACGTTGATCTAAATTGCCCAAGACCGGCGAGATAGCCGTGTCAAAGGACAAAATGGTAAGCGCAAAATTGCGGTGATGTGCCCAAGCTTCCAACCAGCTGTGTACATCATGGTCTCGACGACGGCCAGCAAAAAGGTGGACAACCACAAAGGACGGTCGTGGCTCCAGGTCATGCACCAATGGGGTCTGCGGGTCACTAGGCATGTCCTGCCAGTGAACACGGTCCAAGTTGGTCTGCCACTTCTCCTGTTCAGCAAAGAGGCGCGGCACGTCCAGCTGCGGAACTGAGCCCGGCTGACCTTCTTTCTGAGGAGGCCGGACAGGGCGATGTGGTAGCGGAGCTGGAGGAGCTTGTTGCGCCTCAGCGATCTGACGATCAAGGCTGCGTAAGCGAGCTTCCTGCCAATACTCCTCAAATTCAGTCGCCAACGCAGCATACTCTGCATCCAGATAGGCTTCTGCTTCCCCATCCATCAAATTGGCAATGATGTCTGGTAACGTGTGGCGTCCCCAGAGAATAAAGACTCTTGCTACCCATGACTCAAAGTCTGTAGGGAGCTTGCAGAGAATATCAATCCAACGATCCTGCGGGCACTCTACCTCCGTGAATCTGTAGTGAGCACTGCAGAAGTCAGAAAACCATCGATAGGTGGCCGCAGTCAGGATGTCGCCCAAACGCTCCCCAGCGCCAAGAGGATCTTCTGGCTGCACATATGCGTTGATTTCAGTAGCCAATTGCACTCGAGCTGACTGCAAGGCTGCGAGACGACGTTCAATCGCCGATGGGCCGCATCCAAATGGTCCAGAGGCAGGCAAAGCATCCAGCCGTGATTGTCCGTGCATGGCTCGAGGAATGTGCTCAGCCGAGTAGGAGACCGCATAGCCAATCTGCTGCAAATACGCAAAACACGGATTGGGCAAGCCGTTGCGTGGCATATATGAGAGGTGTTGTTGGAGCCGTTGGGTGTTCCATAGGAAGGTAAGGCAAGCAGGGCATGTTGCTGAGTCGAGCAAATGGTGCTCAAGGCAGAAAACTCCATGCTTCTTCCAGCGATGTGTGTGGACCCCTTGAGGCGTAGAAAAACTCCTCTCACAATCCGGACATTGATACTGTCGCTCTTGAAGATGAAGAAGGGCAGGATCAGGGTCAAACGTGAAGGCATTCCGTCGCAAAAGTTGAAAAATGTCAGCATGCCACTGCTGAACTTCCAAAATCATCAAATCTTGGAATAGGTGCCTGCGGCTTGCTCTTCTCACACGCGCCTTCCACTTGCCTGCACCATGCTGCCATCCTTCAATCAGCACTGTCATGTCAAAGTCGATGAGTCCAGGGTCAGCAACTGCTTCAACGCCATAGAGCCACCGCAAATCATGGCGCAGACCAGCTAGCCAGGAAAACGGTTGCTGGGCATCCTCTTCGTGGGTCATGAGCTGCAAAAAGGCTGGGCCATGGTGGTACAACCTTTGGGCGTAGAGCAGTCGTTCAACTGCAAGACGCACCCTTGGCTCAAGAATACCTGCTTGTGAAAGAAGGCGGGCAGTTGATTGAAAGCGCATAGTTGGTCCCAGCATCGCTTTGACCATTCGGCCAATGGCAGTTCGGATGCGTTCCAACTGCCGACCCGTAGGGGTATGCCAGGAACCTGCTGCAAAATAGAGCTTGGACAGGATCAGCGTGCCAAACAACTGGAGGCGAAGCTGCAATGGTAGGTGCCTGTTCGCCAGAACACGCCGTCGTAGCTGCTCAAAAGCAGAACGAGCCATGCCAAGTCGGTGAGAAATCTCTGTGTCCAGGGTCTGGTCGGACGTGTACAATGTGCACAAATGCCGATAAGCTGGCGACATGTGGACAAATTGTGTAGTGCCGTCATTGAACTCAAACATGGTGCCAGGTTGAGGGATAAGTTGAAATTGACGTCTGGCAGATGCGGCATCAGCTCCACAAAAGGTCGCAACTATCCTTGTTTTGCCACGGGCAAGATTGATCTGAAAACCACGTTGAGCAAACTCTTTCTTCACAAAATCAAGCAAACTGAGAATGGAAGGAATGAGATCTGCCGCACACTCCTCAAGGACAGGGACGGCAAGGTCATCACTCCAAATAATCATGTCGATCTCCATCGCAAGATGGCAGGCGAATTTCTGCACATAGCCATTATCGACCAAAAAGGTATGGAGGGCTTTGGAGAAGTCAAACATGATGTAGTGAAAAATCACATCAGCGATGGGTGAGCCCGGACGCGTGCCCCGGTGTGTTCTGATGTACTCCCTACCATTTATGGTGGTCCACGTCGAATCATGAATGTTCTGTAGGAGTCGAATCAAGTAGGCTGGTGCACCAAGTTGCGCTAGAAGACAAGGTAAGGCACGGCCCAATTGCAAGCGACTTCCAGGGTCATCCGACCAATGAAGGGCATCAAGAACAAACTGGAGTTTGCGATCATCCGCAATGCCAACGACCATTTCACGCACAAGGCAGTGGAAAGCAGTGCTCAAATCCACAAAAAGTACCCCAAAGCTCAGCCCCTTTGCCATTGCGGTCCGTCCCAAGATTCTGAGGGCTTGTGAACCAAAGAGAACTTCTTGACCGGCAAAGCCACCAAGTTGGCCAGGCAATCGTTGGTGGTCCAGGAGCTTAATAAGACGCTTCCTCAGCAACGCATGGAAGCTCTTCGCCAGCGTGGGGAGCAGCAAAATGCCACGAAAATGCTTCACCTCAACCGGTTGAGGTACCTTTGGGATCAGGGCCATAGGGCCACCCTTATACTGGACGGGCTCTTCTCCCCAAATCCACATCTTCAACATCAGTGGGAAGGCATGTTCGGCCAATGTTGCTGCATGGTTGTGGAATAGGGCAGAGGGCAATGGGTCATTACCCGTTGCCCGCCCTGGTCGGTTGGCTCTCAAGGTGTGTTCAAGCTCAAATAAAGTTGGTAGGTCATCAATTGTGGGAGCATCTTGGGCACCGTTGCATGAAGAGGGATAAACTGCTTCGGCCAGAAGGCGTTCAGGCTCAACAACGCAACCTGCTTCCAATGCTTCAAAGTGTGGGTTCCATTCAGCTTCCAACGTCATCAAACGTAATGGATCCACACCAAGCCGTCGTTGGCGGTATTTGGGCAGAGCTCGTTTGAGGACTTTCCAAAGATCTCGAGATTGCTGCGGACCCAAATAATGGCTACCTTCCTCCAAAACACTCTGGAAAAAATGAACATCATCTCGTCGAGAATGCTGGGTGACAAGGCGTCCAAAAATGCGAAATTCCTCCAAGGCTTTTGCAATAAGGCGGTCTTGTTCAATCAGTAATTTGTCAAAAGGAGCCATGAGTTCAGAAAAGGTATGAACAGGAGGAGGATCCCGAAGCTGGCGCCATGCAATGAAGAAGGCTTGAATCAATGTGTCTCGCTGAAGTGCATGAGCCTCTCGCAATGTTTGCCTCCGCTGCTTCTTTTCACACACAAGTGCCCATGTCGCTTCAGACATAGTCTTTTTGAGTTTGACAGGTCCTGTAGGGTGTGATCTAGGCAAGCAGGCAAGAACTTGATCTTGAACAAGAGAGGCATGAGCATGCACATCCAGGCCAGGGTCAGCAGGAACACAAGAACGCAAACCGGTGAGGTCAGCAGTGACTGCTGTGCTTTTGGGTGCCACATATCGGTGGGTGCCCCCGGAGCATTGCAGCGGCATCTGAAAGTGGACAAGTGCTGGCCTATGATCATCATGGTGGAGAGACACATCAATGTCTTCGGATGTCCAAGAGCGACAGAAGGTGGTAGGCCACATCGAGGGCAATCCTATGTAGTCATTGCGGTGCCAAGAGCCAGAAGGGTGCTTCCAAGTGCCAGTGGGACCTTCATGGCATGGGAAGGTAGATGGCAGCCAAAGGCCATGCTCCCGAATGAAGGAAGTAAAGGGCAAAGCACGTTCCCCTCCACGTTCTGCTCCATGAGTGCCAATGGCGGCACATGTGTCCTCTCCAACTTTGGCATTGGCGTCAACCAGGAGAACCATGGGCCAGTCAAGCAGCGCATTGGGTATGGCCTTGCTTAAAGCTGTCCACCATTGATCAACCTCATCAGAAGTATGCCCTGTATGCGGCGCATGTCCCGCGATGAGGAGGCACCTCAACCACGGTGTCT